GGTGGTCGTGGGGTTGGTCACGTTGGGTTGTGGTTGTGGGGTTGGTCACGTGGGGAGGTGGTCGTGGGGTTGGTCACGTGGGGAGGTGGTTGTGGGGTTGGTCACGTGGGGAGGTGGTCGTGGGGTTGGTCACGTGGGGAGGTGGTTGTGGGGTTGGTCACATGGGGAGGTGGTCGTGGGGTTGGTCACGTGGGGAGGTGGTTGTGGGGTTGGTCACGTGGGGAGGCGGTCGTGGGGTTGGTCACGTGGGGAGGTGGGGAGGTGGTCGTGGGGTTGGTCACGTGGGGAGGTGGTTGTGGGGTTGGTCACGTGGGGAGGTGGTTGTGGGGTTGGTCACGTGGGGAGGTGGTTGTGGGGTTGGTCACGTGGGGAGGTGGTTGTGGGGTTGGTCACGTGGGGAGGTGGTCGTGGGGTTGGTCACGTGGGGAGGTGGTTGTGGGGTTGGTCACGTGGGGAGGTGGTCGTGGGGTTGGTCACGTGGGGAGGTGGTCGTGGGGTTGGTCACGTGGGGAGGTGGTCGTGGGGTTGGTCACGTGGGGAGGTGGTTGTGGGGTTGGTCACGTGGGGAGGTGGTTGTGGGGTTGGTCACGTGGGAGGTGGTTGTGGGGTTGGTCACGTGGGGAGGTGGTTGTGGGGTTGGTCACGTGGGGAGGTGGTCGTGGGGTTGGTCACGTGGGGAGGTGGTCGTGGGGTTGGTCACGTGGGGAGGTGGTCGTGGGGTTGGTCACGTGGGGAGGTGGTTGTGGGGTTGGTCACGTGGGGAGGTGGTTGTGGGGTTGGTCACGTGGGGAGGTGGTTGTGGGGTGGGTCACGTGGGGAGGTGGTCGTGTGGGTTGGTCACGTGGGGAGGTGGTCGTGGGGTTGGTCATGTGGGGAGGTGGTCGTGGGGTTGGTCGTGGGAGGTGGTCGTGGGGTTGGTCGTGGGAGGAGGTGGTCGTGGGGTTGATCATGGTGGGAGTGGGTCGTGGGGTTGGTCATGTGGGAGGTGGTCGTGGGGCTGGTCGTGGGCGGTGGTCGTGGGAGTGGTCGTCGGGGGTTGGTCGTGGGAGGTGGTCGTGGGCGGTGGTCGTGGGAGGTGGTCGTGGGTTGGTCGTGGGAGGTGGTCGTGGGGTTGGTCATGGTGGGAGTGGGTCGTGGGGTTGGTCATGGTGGGAAGTGGTCGTGGGGTTGGTCATGTGGGGAAGTGGTCGTGGGGTTGGTCACGTGGGGAGGTGGTCGTGGGGTTGGTCATAGGGTTGGTCATGGTGGGAGTGGGTCGTGGGGTTGGTCATGGTGGGAAGTGGTCGTGGGGTTGGTCATGTGGGGAAGTGGTCGTGGGGTTGGTCGTGGGAGGAGGTGGTCGTGGTACTTGACAACCTCCACTTGTCTCCATCATGTGTATTAATCATCTGGTAAAAGTTTTTTGCCAGTCTTAGAAGATGCAATCTACTCATCCTTCCTTCTCTTGCAATATTTTTGTTGATCCTGCCATAGAATTCTATCAAGTTTGATTGAAGAACAGCGGGAGATTGCTGCAGTGGCAACTTGGCAGTGAGGAGCGGGCAGCTATGAGCCGTTTGATGGGCTGAGTAACAGGTGTGGCAGACTCCGTATACACACACACAAACAGGCTGCTTGTGGCATGTTATTAGACACTCACATGGCAGAGGAGGTAGCAGTCCCTGTGGCGCTGTGGTAAAACACTCACGCAGGGCTTCACAAGCGCTTTGGCCTGGGTTCGTATCCTGGCCGGGGAGGATTGACCGGATACTAATCCTTAACTGTAGCCTCTGTTCACCCAGCAGTGAATGGGTACCTGGCTGTTAAACGATTTGGCGGGTCGTATTCGGGGAAAATTAGGATTACGGACTTTCCCAAAACGCTATGTGTGCTAGTGGCTTTACAAGAATGTAATAACTTGTATATATAAATAAAAAAAGGTATGGCTGTGATTCTGGTAGCCAGTGATATCCACAGGAAAGCTGTAGGTTAGCTTCATGCATACTGCTTTGAGAACACGCACAGATGTCCCCTGTCATTAGACGAGAGAGGTCCTCTGTAGTGGGGGTTGGCACTTCAGTGTTCTAGAGGGGGGGGGGGGGTAATGAGGGAGGTAATGGTCAATCATGAGCATCTTATACTGCCACCTTACCTCTCTCAAGAAGCATTGTCTTCTGATGAGGGACACAAAACGACATTATAAAAAGGGGCTGATGATGCAGCGAGCCATCTTCTCTGATCAGACTTGTGGAGGGATCTCACCTATGCGACTGCAAATGTTTGCGTACTGTACGTGCAAATCAGTGATATGCTGTAGCTAAAAATAGCTGTACATGTATTATCTGAGTCCCGAATAATATAAACTCCACCAACTGTTCTTGTATGTCTTCTTACAGTTCATCTTGTTTACAGGGTTTTAGCCTTAGATAAACATGGCAGAGAAAAGAGTAAAAAGAAAATATTGTGTTGAAGATTTAGCCCAAGCTGTTGAGGATGTAAAAAGGTGAGTTAATATGTTATAGTACTGTACCTGGCTTACAAAAACTGGCCTGTATTACTAAAATATGTAATCAAATAACTATACACTGCATATATAATTCATGAATTTTATATCTTTTATTTTTACAGAATGCAATATAATTGTTGGATTCTCAAACCTAACAGTTTTGTCTTTTATATACAGCAAGAGAAGATCCATAAGAGAAGCCTCTTCATTTCATAAGATTCCAAGAGCCACTCTGGCAGAGAAGGTAGCTAAAGGAATCATTGTTCCTACGAGATATGGCCCTCAAGGTATCTTGTCGGATGCAGAGGAGGAGTGTTTAATCAATTACATAATTAAATCCAATCGCAGAGCCTATCCAACCACCAGAGACGATGTGCTGAATTGGGTGGAGGGTATACTGAAGAAGGAGGTGAAGGAGGGATGCAGAAGGAAGCGGCCAACAGGTTGTGTGAACTTCAGGCCAGGAAAGACTTGGTGGAAACTCTTTAGGGCCAGGCATCCAGAGGTGTTTATTATGTCGCCGGTATTCCTCTCTAAGGCTAAAAGAGTAGTTACGGAAACATCAGTACATCAGTGGTTCTCTGCAGTAAGAGAGTATCTTTGTGAAGAGAAGTGTGCTGATGTGCTGAGTGACCCATCGAGAAATTTTTATATGGACGAGGTTTGCTTCTCAATCTCACCGACCACTGGAAAGGTCAACAGTATTAGTGGAGCCCCTGATCCTTATCTCGCTTGGCTTTCAGCTCAGCTCAAGACTATCACCGTACTAGGTAGGTAATTTATTCCATTATTTAGGATGTAATTTAGGCCTGTAATTATTTAGTATACAGGTAGGCCTTTAATCTATATTAGCCTATGAGAAGTAATAAGCTGTACCTGGAGCATACCTGGAGAGGGTTCTGGGAGTTCTTCTACTCCCGAGCCCAGCCTGAGGCCAGGCTTGACCTGTGATAAACTTGTGAAATTGAGTAATTTAGCAGCAAGCTTAGGATATAACTACAAGATAATTGTTTTTCCAGCTGTGGTGGCTGCTGATGGGAAGGTTCCATCACCTGTGGTTGTGTTTCCTGGCAAGATACTCTCCAACAAGATTATAGAGAACAGACCATTACATCTGGACTGCAGTTTGGGGCTCAGTAACTCGGGCTGCATGACAGTTGAAATATTGACCGACTATCTTCTCAACACATTTGACCCATGGCTGGTTAGAAACAACATCACAAAACCAGTTATATTATGGACTGATTGGCACGAAACTCGTGTAAGTTACTATCTGGCCAAGGAACTCCAAGAGAGGCAAATAATAATGTACGGTTTGCCGCTCGGTACGAAACCTTTCCTACAACCTCTGCATGTGTCGGTATTTGCCCAGTTGGAAATCGCTTGGGAAATTAATGCCAGCAAATGGTGTAAGGAGAATCAAAAGGAAAAGCTAGACTGTAAAACGTTTCTCTGCAACTTCCTGCCACTTTACTATGAGATTTGCACTCCGGATATTATTAAGGCAAGCTTCAAGACATCTGGCATACATCCCTTTGACTCAACTGCTCCAGATTACTCCATGTTAGACTCGAAGAAATATATCACGCAGGTTAAAACAGAGTGCAAGACGATTAACAAAGGAGAGATGTCCGGCAGAGGAGGAGTGGTGTCTGGCCAAGGAGGAGTGGTGTCCGGCAGAGGAGGAGTGGTGTCCAGCAGAGGAGGAGTGGTGTCCAGCAGAGGAGGAGTGGTGTCTGGCCAAGGAGGAGTGGTGTCCGGCAGAGGAAGAGTGGTGTCCAGCAGAGGAGGAGTGGTGTCTGGCCAAGGAGGAGTGGTGTCCGGCAGAGGAAGAGTGGTGTCCAGCAGAGGAGGAGTGGTGTCTGGCCAAGGAGGAGTGGTGTCCGGCAGAGGAAGAGTGGTGTCTGGCAGAGGAAGAGTGGTGTCCGGCAGAGAAGAGTGGTGTCCGGCAGAGGAAGAGTGGTGTCCGGCAGAGGAAGAGTGGTGTCCAGCAGAGGAGGAGTGGTGTCTGGCCAAGGAGGAGTGGTGTCCGGCAGAGGAGAGTGGTGTCTGGCAGAGGAAGAGTGGTGTCCGGCAGAGGAAGAGTGGTGTCTGGCAGAGGAAGAGTGGTGTCCGGCAGAGGAAGAGTGGTGTCTGGCAGAGGAAGAGTGGTGTCCGGCAGAGGAAGAGTGGTGTCCAGCAGAGGAGGAGTGGTGTCTGGCCAAGGAGGAGTGGTGTCCGGCAGAGGAAGAGTGGTGTCTGGCAGAGGAAGAGTGGTGTCCGGCAGAGGAAGAGTGGTGTCTGGCAGAGGAGGAGAGTGGTGTCCGGCAGAGGAAGAGTGGTGTCTGGCAGAGGATGAGTGGTGTCCGGCAGAGGAAGAGTGGTGTCCAGCAGAGGAGGAGTGGTGTCTGGCCAAGGAGGAGTGGTGTCCGGCAGAGGAAGAGTGGTGTCTGGCAGAGGAAGAGTGGTGTCCGGCAGAGGAAGAGTGGTGTCCGGCAGAGGGCAATTTGTGTCCAGCAGAGGAGGAGTGGTGTCCAGCAGAGAAGGATTGTCTAACAAAAGAGGCAGATCTGGCAAAAGAGGAAGACCAGTCAAAGAAAAATGGCATAACAAAGGGAAATCTGACAAAGACTGCCAGACATCAGGCATACATCCCTTTGACTCTACTGCTCCAGATTACTCCATGTTAGACTCAAAGAAACCAATTCAGTTAGACTCAATGACGTTACCGTTGAACACCAGTAACACTATCCTCACTGAAGCCCAAGTACACGTATCTGCTTTATCTTCCGACATACCCTCGGAGGCAGCTGCTGTCTCAAATTTTCAGTAAGTATATATTTACACATATCATCTTCCTACTTACCAAATAATGCAATTGCAGTCTTGTTTTCTTAATGTCTATGCCTGTTAATATTCTGACCAAATTTATTTATAACATTGATTATAATAATAACCATATTGCCTTTTTTTTTTTTACAGGGTTGACCCATTCTTCAAGCACGGAAGTGATGATGACACTGGCTTTTTATCTCAAAAACATCAGCCATATTTAAAGAGCAAGATATCTACAAATAAAGTGTTCCAGTCATGTAATGATAGGCCTATAACACGTGCGTCTCGATGCTTGCCTAATTCTTCCAGCAAAAATTCGAGCCCAGTGCAACAGGTCAGCCATCTGGACACCAGTTCTCAGTCAGGTAGTTTGATTGCCCAATCTTAATAGGTTCTACTGTTGTAAAATTTTTAAATGTATAGAATGTGTACTGCCCTTTAAATGCCCATGTGTTGAACAACATAATGTACTTGATACCCACATATAACAACATAATTGATACCCATGTAGAACTCATCACTACTATAACAACATAATTGATACCCATGTAGAACTCATCACTACTATAACAACATAATTGATACCCATGTAGAACTCATCACTACTATAATACATAATTGATACCCATGTAGAATCATCATACTATAACAACATAATTGATACCCATGTCTATATATATATATATATATATATATATATATATATATATATATATATATATATATATATATATATATATATATATTATATATATATCTCATCTATATATATATATATATATATATATATATATATATATCAAATATCTCTCATCTATATATATATATATATATATATATATATATATATACTCTATCTCTCTCTCTCTCTCTCTCTCTCTCTCTCTCTCTCTCTCTCTCTCTCTCTCTCTCTCTCTCTCTCTCTCTCTCTCTCTCTCTCTTCTATTTTTCGTGTGTGTGTGTGTGTGTGTGTGTGTGTGTGTGTGTGTGTGTGTGGCGCCTCAACTTACGATGCTAATCCGTTCCCAGAGATGGATCGTAAGTCGAAGCGATTTTTCCCATAAGAAATAGAGGGATTTGAATTAATCCGTTACCCACCCTCCAAAATATTAACATACAAATACATTTTATACTGAATACAATTTTTTTTCTAACTACAATATATAGTACCAAAGTTTCACTTACCTTTATGGAGGGCTCTTGATGGCGTATGGAAGATGGTGATGAGGGGGGAGGAGGAGCAAAACATCTACTTGAACAGTTTCTAAATACTCCTTCCACTTTATTACACACACCTACCATATGTAAACCACACTCTTGGGAGTTTAAATAACTTCTATATGATTGTATGCATGTGTTTAAAACTTGCACAGATGAACCCTTCAATGGTGTAGCTAATTACAAGCCCTACATCATGGTGTGCATGCTAAAAATAAAAAGAGTTCACAAATAAACTGGGAGTAAGTCGAATATAGTATTTGGTACACAGAAGGTAATCGCAGATTGTGAATGGACCAGTGTAAATATTAACCCTTAAGCTGCTAAGGGGTCCTGAGGAGATTTACACCACCTGTGTGCAAGAAAAAATTATAAAATTATTTTTCGTCTTCTAAAAATGTTAATTTGTGTTCCCTGAGCACAGGAAAAAAAAAAAAGTCGTAGTTGACATATTTTGGCCTCAATAGGCCAAGGATGTTTGCCAGAATGTAAGCGTTTACAGAGCAGTCGTCAGAGGCAGTCAGCGTCACCTGAGCTGCCAGGTGGGAGTTGCCACAAAGATATTATTACCTAATTATTTCAATGTCTCTGATTTTTTCTTAGTTTTTTGCAGTAATATTATTCAGTAGTGTGTAGTGTGATAGATTTATATAATAAAAGGGGTGAATCATCGCTATACTCAAAAGTATGGTGTGCATATTAGTGATTCAATTATTATGTTCATAAAACAACAAACAAATAGTTTTGGTGTTATTGCACTCTGTACACAGGTTATATATAAGTATCTGCTTAACGAACCACTAAGTTGGTATTTTGAGTCAAAAAGCAACGAGGATTGACCACCACTCACCAGCCAGCCACTTGCTGCCACTCACCAGCCAGCCACTTGCTGCCACTCCTTCCCTCAACAACATCTCACTCGCCCACATTCTCCTCCCACCATACTGTTTTTTATTTTATTCACTATATACAGACGTTATATATAAGTATCTACATGTTTTATTCACCACAACTGTACAACTAAGCTGATATAGTTAGTTCAGGCACTAAGAGACATAGCTACACACACAGTCAGCTGGCGGCTGTCTCCCTTGCTCATTCAAGGTCAGACGCACTAAACTTTCTCCCCCAACAATACTGTTTGTAGTGTTATTACACTATACACACATATTATATATAAGTACTGTATCTACATGTTGTATACACCATAACTGTACACCTAAGCTTGTAGGGTGCCCAAAGATCATAGTGGCCACCCTCTACGCAGCTAGACAAGTCATGCAGACGACGTCACCTCCGTCACCCAAATGGCTCCTCCCAACATAATCCTTTTGCTGTTATTAGACTAATACACACATTATATATAAGTATCTACATTTGTGTTCACCATAGAGAACCACTGAGCTGGTATGGTGAATGCAGACAATAACAGGTGGCCACACAGTCAGTAAACGACGCTAGCTCCCTCCCTCAGCATTACTCCTCCCACACAATGCTAATTATCACAACAATCCTGGTCATTTTTATCACAGTCAGGGGTCATTTGTAATACTATCATCACTAAATAATAGCAGTTACATATTTATTTTGACATTTTGAGGCAATCCCGTGGTCACAAGCTGAACAGCAATAGTGTTAGCTCATGCTGCGTGCGCCAGCCTTGGCTGCTCCCACAGTACTGTGGCTCTCACACCAGAGAATATTGTCCACAATTTTTTTTAAACATGGCGTCTGTTTACAAGAGCCCTGAGGAAGCTAATGTGAACCCCGTGTAGCCGAGGGCCATTTGAATCGTGCCCGTCACCCAATGTCGTATATATACGCCATGCGCACGGTGGGACATGTTACTAAGGGCGTATATATACGTCATGCGCAGTTTAAGGGTTAAGGGTCCATTGTCTTAAGCCTGCAGGGCTCCTATGGTGAAGTTGAAAGTGCCAGGTAAATCTGGCACTTTCTGTGTCTGTGTACATAAAATTACATAAATTTATGATAATTATAAAATGATGATAATTGTCTATATAGTACCTGTACTCTGTTGAAGTAAGGACTGGTGTGGGGAAGGAGAGGAAAGAGACTTTGAGGAAGACACCGTACTGTAATGGTGGGATGGGGGTACATTATCTTTATACATATTTTATTAAAATAATCACAAAGTATGTATTTCTTAACTAGGGTACTGTACTGTAATATATTCTTGTAGATGTGGCACACTCTTCCCGGCTGAGAAAGAAGACTTTGGAGGTGCGCGATGAAAATTACACGTTATTCAAACGCAAGTCTGATCAGCCTAACAAATCGCCAAAAAGAACGAAAATGGGAGAATGTGTGGTAAGTGGTACTTGGGTCTCTCAGGTGTCAACAGCTGGCATCCTCAGAGTTGGTGCTGTGGGCCAACATGTGGGCCAACATGTGTTCTATATGTACCAATATGTGTGTGTGTGTGCAAACTGTGACAGAAATGTAGCAAGTTTATCATTAATTATGTCACTTGCCAGATGTTTGCAATTGAACTAAACCTCTCGTGTGTAGCTTTATTAATGACATAAATCCATGTCATTATGACATAAATCCCAAGATTTATGTCTTGGGATCAGACAAGAATCCAAACTTGGTCTGATGGCGACCATCTTGACTTTCAAATTTCTCTTTACATATACTAAGCTAAGGAGACATAATGCAATGTCCTTAAAATTTATTGCGTACCGGGTTGTTGTTGTTGATTTAGGGGCGATGACGATCGTGGGATCGGATGTGCCCTGTGAAACTTCATTTATAATGCTTATTGCATGATAGAGGGTTTAATGGTAAGACTCTTCTTGACCTCAAAACTGTAATCAAACCATATGTCCCTAATTTTGTCATCGTTCCAATTTTATGACTTTCAGGGAGCGAACATTTGTCAAAGCTTGGAGAGCTGTGTGAACAGAGACTTGCCTGTAGTAAAAGAAGGTAAGTAAGAGTTATTTAGCATGGTAAATAATCACTTATACCTCCAGGAACTGATAAGTCACACCCCATTAGAAACTTGTATATAACTTATCGGCCATACCTGCGGGAACTAATCAATTGTACCCATTGGTATATCCTGTACCATCCTTGTGGCCTCTTCTTCCCACTAGCAAACTTTGTTACTTTACATTTGCTTTGATGCGCGTGTGTGTGTGTGTGTTACATCTGTGATGGCAACACTTTTGAACTCGATTGCTGCCTTTGTTAATCCCTACCACCCCAAGCTGTCCAGAAAAGTGGTTCAGATTTCCTGTGATTGGCTATGAAAGTTTTTTGATGTTTGGTTTGGCTGCTTTTCATACAATACCTTTAGTCTGATATAATGCCAATGTATTACCCTACAAACACACAGCGTAATGGACCCTATTGTTTCCTTGTTACAGCTTGTTATAAAGTTTTTATGATGTGAAGAAAGTTGTTACAATTTGTTATACTGGTTATTATATTACTTGTTAGAAGGTATTATAACTTCTTCAAATATTGTAGCGACGTCATAGTTTCGTCGTGTGTTTAGCGATTTGCCAATGAGCATGTAGATATTTTGGCTGAGAATTTAAATACAGTATCCATTCGATTTAGTGGCCTATATGGGGCTGTACCCTGGTCGTTATTTCCGGAGCTCCGGTATTTCCGAAGTTAAGTGTCTGTTTTTTTCCAAGTAACATTCAGGTAAGATATATTTTGTACAGACTGTCACTTGGTCCACCACTCTAATGCTTTCTACCCTGTGATGTCACAGATTCACGGCACATTGTTTTGATTTGTTAAGAGGCTGGAGTGTTCATTCCGTGACTCTGTTGTACATATCTGCACAATCAAGAAACATCCGTGCACCATGTGGGCTCCAAATGCACTCATTGTGTCAATGATGGCTGGTGGGTGGATGGGCAGGCAGGTGGGGTGTTATGAATTAGCTTGCTGTTATGGGGGGTATGGAGTATTAAAGAGAAGGGCCAACAGCTAGAATCAGGATGTATCAAAATTAGCGGAGATCAGATAGGCCCGGCCCCCAATAAGAACATAAAACCATATTAAAGTAGTGGCTTGAAGTAAATATGTCATACTAGAGGTTAATCACTGATCCTCTACACAGAAAGAATGGATACTCCTTTAAAAACTAACTTATTTATTAAACCCTCTTAATAACAACCCCCATATACATTAATAACAATAACTACTTGACCACACTATCTTACGTTAAATACCTTGGTGCACATAGACAGGATACAAGGCTTACACTTGGGACAAGCTAGGGTAAAGTCTACTAGGCAAGGGACACTAGCAAGGACTCTAGGTAGCTTGGTACCACTTGAGCACACGTGGTTCCACTGAGACCCCTTAGGTTAACTTAGCAATATAAACACTAGTGTAGCCTATACACATTACTACACACTTATGGCAGAAAACGTACATGCAACACGGTACTTAGCTTTGTAAACTAGACATAGGATAAGGTAAGGGAAGAGGAGGAAAAAGAGGAGGAAAAAGAGGAGGAGGAGACAGAGCCACACAGGAGAGGTGTTGACTCAACCACAGCAGTCCGGACAAGGCCGAAGGAGCCTCCAGTCCAAGCTCTCTTCAGTTGTTGTTGCCGGGAAGATAACTAACTGATCGTGCAGCTTATAAACATTACAAATCTTCACCGACGTACAATACTGGTTACTTTACTAGTTCTAAGAATAGTTGATAACTAGTTCAGTGTTATATTTAGTCAACAACAAGCTCAGAGTCTGAATGCTCTGTGAGAAACAAGATTCGTCTTACGTCTGGCAAGGAAGATAGGAACAAACACGCATCAGCAGTCCTACCAATTAATGTAAAGTAAATTATTTAGAGCTCAATTTGACCTCTGGTTTCCAACTAAGGAACCCAGGGTCGTAACACGGGGATGGAGAGGCTGAAATGTAAGCAGGCAGGCAGGCAGGAAGAGGCTGGGAGGTAGGCAGGCAGGGAGGGAGAGAATGGAGATATGTGGAGGGAGGGATGGATGGATGGATTGATGGAGGGAGGGAAGGAGGAAGGGAGGGATGGATGGATGGAGAGAGGTGGGAGGGATGGAAGGAGGGAAGGAGGGCGGGAGGGAGGGATGGAAGGAGGGCGGGAGGGAGGGATGGAAGGAGGGAGGGAGGGATGGAAGGAGGGAGGGAGGGATGGAAGGAGGGAGGGATGGAAGGAGGGAGGGAGGGATGGAAGGAGGGAGGGAGGGATGGAAGGAGGGAGGGATGGAAGGAGGGAGGGAGGGATGGAAGAAGGGAGGGATGGAAGGAGGGAGGGAGGGATGGAAGGAGGGAGGGATGGAAGGAGGGAGGGAGGGATGGAAGGAGGGAGGGAGGGATGGAAGGAGGGAGGGATGGAAGGAGGGAGGGAGGGATGGAAGGAGGGAGGGAGGGATGGAAGGAGGGAGGGATGGAAGGAGGGAGGGAGGGATGGAAGGAGGGAGGGAGGGATGGAAGGAGGGAGGGATGGAAGGAGGGAGGGAGGGATGGAAGGAGGGAGGGAGGGATGGAAGGAGGGAGGGATGGAAGGAGGGAGGGAGGGATGGAAGGAGGGAGGGAGGGATGGAAGGAGGGATGGAAGGAGGGAGGGATGGGAGGGTGGGAGATATGGAGGGAGGGAGGGAAGGGGGGAGGGAGGGAGAGATGGGTATTGAGTTGAGCAGAGAGAGAGAGAGAGAGAGAGAGAGAGAGAGAGAGAGAGAGTGTATGGGTGTAGGGGGGGGCAAGCGGGGGAGGTGTGTCGGTGGTGGGGAAGGGACCGGCTCTCTGCTAAGCCTAACACACTTGACCCAGTGAACCAGATGTTTCTTAAATAAGTTCTGGATATACATCATCATTTATATTTTTGGTTGCAGATTTTGTTTAGTAATATTATTAGGATAATAAAAAGTTATAAAATATTTGTTTCATGAATGCTTTATTGTATTAGATGGAGATTCTCCAGGCTGTTTGTGGCTGGTTGGCAGTCTACTGAGCCATTTCCCAGAATGGTCTTGGTGGGGGGGGGGGGTGAGGCTGTGTGGGAGAGCAGGAGTGAGGGAGTGGGGGAGAGCAGGAGTGAGGGAGTGGGGGAGAGCAGGAGTGAGGGTGTGGGGGAGAGGTTCATTGAGGGTAAAGGAGGGGACGATAGAGATAGGCGGCCTGCTTGCCATGTGAGGACCCCCTGATGCCAAAACAAACCCAATACCGACCTTCGGTAATATTGACTGCCAGACCGTTATATGAGGCTCTAAATACCGGTCTCCCAAACCGGTCGTTATTACTGGCAGATCGGTATAAAAGAGGCCGTTAAATTGAGTGAATATTGTAGTCATATATGGCTTTAACCCTTAAACCGCTAAGGGCTTTTTGGCCTGCAACACTGCCAGGTGCAACAAAATGAAATCCAAACAATTATTTTGTCTTATAAAAGTGTTCATTTGTGTTCCCTGATCACAGGGGAAAAAAAAAAACGTAGGTGGCATGTTTTGGCCGCAGTAGGGCGGGAAAGTCTGGCAAAAAAGATGTGTTGACAGAGCAGGTGCCAGACGAGAGCTGCATAAGTGGTACTTGGATCTTTCAGGTGTCAACTCCCCAGCTGACAGGTGGGAGTTGCCACAAAGATATTATTACCTAATTATTTCAATGTCTGATTGATTTTTTCTTATTTTTTTGCAGTAATATTATTCAATAGCGTGTAGTGTGACATATTTATATAATAAATTGTGTGAATCATCGCTGTACTCAAAATTATGGTGTGCATATTAATGATTCAGTTATTATGCGATTCAATTATTATGTTCATAAAACAATAAACAAATAGTTTTGCTGTTATTACACTATATACACAGGTTATATATAAGTATCTGCATGTTTTGGTCACCATAACGAACCACTAAGTTGGTATTGTGAGTCAAAAAGCAACGAAGAGTGGTCGCCACACACCAGCCAATCAGCCACTGGTCGACACTCCCTTCCTCACCTCCTCACTCGCCAACATTCTCCTCCCACCATACTGTTTTTGCTTTTATTCACTATATACAGACATTTATATATAAGTATCTACATGTTTTGTTCACCATATCTGTACATCTAAGCTCATATAGTGAGTTCAGGCAATAAGAGATGTTACCTTGAGGTGCTTCCGGGGCTTAGCGTCCCCGTGGCCCGGTCGTCGACCAGGCCTCCTGGTTGCTGGACTGATCAACTAGGCTGTTGGACGCGGCTGCTCGCACCCTGACGTATGAGTCACAGCCTGGTTGATCAGGTATCCTTTGGAGGTGCTTATCCAGTTCTCTCTTGAACACTGTGAGGGGTCGGCCAGTTATGCCCCTTATGTGTTGCTACACAAACAGTCAGCTGCTTCCCTCACTGGTTCAAGGTCAGACACACTAATATTTCTCCTCCAACAATACTGTTTGTGGTGTTATTACACTATATACACACATTATATATAAATATTTACATGTTTTATTCAACATAACTGAACAAATAAGCTGGTATGGTGCCCAAAGACCATAGTGGCCACCAGTAAACAACATGACATGTCATGCAGACGATGCACCTCCCTCACCAAAATGAAGGCTCCCAACATAATCCTATTGCTGTTATTACACTCTATACACATGTTATATATAAGTATCTACATTTGTGTTCACCATGGTGAACTACTAAGCTGGTATGGTAAGTCCAGTTAATAAAAGGTGGCCACACACAGTCAGAAGATGACGCCACCTCCCTCCCTCCCTAGGCATTACTCCTCCCACCATAGAGCACAGTGCTAAATATCATCACAATCCTGCTATTATCAGAATCCTAGTCATTTCTGGGGGAGCCCCTATGGCTTCCCGGAGCTATCCAGGCTGATATGGATACCCCTAATATTTTTGCATCAGTCAATGTGGGTGGAGTTCTAGGCCTACCGGAGACCACGAGCCAAAACCTGGCCCCTCACAGAGGCACATGGAGCAATGGCCCATAGAAGTGCACATGTGATTTGGAGCATTCTATATCTGCCATTGATCTGTTTAGGCACCCAGAAAGGTAAGCTTCACAAAACAACCTTTATTCTGGTTAAAACAACGAAAAATGCCAACGAGTGGACAGAACTCGCCAAAAGAAAAATGAGCAAACAAGCATGACGTCACTGGAGCTGCGCCACATGTCTGTGCAGCTTCCCCCGTCCTCGGGAGGTGGAGAGGGGAGCCCCTGCATCGGTGATCCACCTCTCAGTTCCTTGGCTGATGGGATCGTGCACGGTCATATGGCTCCAGCTCCGGTCTTCTTCAGTGCTGTCTTTGTTTTCAGTGCTGCTCTTACAGTGATCGTGTGAGCTGGGAGTATTATTCTTAGGTACTCGGACTGCGTGTGCTTAGGGTCGCCTTCCCTAAGTGCCCTGCAAGTACAGCTCTTGGGGCTTGGGGTTCTCTTCCACAAGTCACCTTGGATCTACCTCTGTTGGCCTTTTGCTGCTTGGCGTTTGGCCGCCCCAAGTGTGTGGGGGTTCCCTCCCCTCCTTGTTGCCTTGGGGTAAGTGGTAGTTAATGCACTGGTGGGGCACGGGGTACTGCATAGTTCGTTTTCACCTTAACAGCGACCGCTCTATTCTTTTCGGGTATGTTGTACTCTTGTGAGGTTTTTCTTTTCTTTTTGCCTGGTGGGGGGGGGGGTCTGCCTTGTGTTTTTCCCTCCCCTTATATTAGGGTCGTTTGTGTGGTGGCGCCCCCTGCTTCGCCGTCGTGAGTGGACACGTCCCATCAGTTCAGTTTTAGCAGTTTGCTTGGTAGTCTGGGATGCCGGTTAGCAGTACCCTGCCTGATATAACCCTTAGGAGACCCAGTTTAGGGGCCCCTGGGAAACCCCGCATTGCACGATAGATTTAGGTTATTGTAACATGCTCGGATTGTCGCTTCCCTGGACGCCCCGAGACTGCCCCGCTTTGCTTATAGGGACGCGGACAGGGGGGGGGGGGGTCGCTTTGGCCATGGTTCCATCCGTGCCCCCTCATTCTTCCCCTTCGGTGGTTCATTCGTTCCCCCCCCCCCACCCCCACCCCCCCTCTGCTTGAGAAGCATCTGAGAGGGCTTCAGGGTCAGGGCAGGGTTGACTTGTGAGAGTTTGGTCCACTAGGCTGTTGCTTGGAGTGGCCCACAGGCCCACATACCCACCACAGCCCGGTTGGTCCAGCACTCCTTGGAGGAAACAATCTAGTTTCCTCTTGAAGATGTCCACGGTTGTTCCGGCAATATTTCTTATGCTTGCTGGGGTGGGGGAGGGGTTGAGCAACCGTGGACCTCTGATGTTTATACAGTGTTCTCTGATTGTGCTTATGGCACCCCCTGCTCTTCACTGGTTCTATTCTGCATTTTCTTCCATATCGTTCACTCCAGTATGTTGTTATTTTACTGTGTAGATTTGGTACTTGGCCCTCCAGTATCTTCCACTTGTATATTATTCGATATCTCTCTCGTCTTCTTTCTAGTGAGTACATTTGGAGGGCTTTGAGACAATCCTAATAATTTAGATGCTTTATCGCGTCTATGAGTGCCGTATATGTTCCCTGACGGCAGCAAGTCACGGCTTCTGTGTCTGGGGACGCGCTTTGGGTTGATCCGGTTTCCCTTCTTTCCTGTTCGTGGGTACGGGTCTCTCACATCGTCTGCATGCTTATTAAGTCTAGCCAGCCTGCGGTCTATCCCCGTGCCCACGACGTTCGTAAGTTTGCTGCTCTTGCTGCCATCTTTGGCAACATGTCTTGGGTTGACATTCGGGCACAGGGTTTTTGGCTATCGAAGAGGGTCCTGACTGCACGCTACCTCGTGCACGTCCCTGGGCCTAATCGGGCCTGTGTCTCTTTGGGTCGGCGCTTGCAGCCTGTTGTCTCAACTTCGAGTTGAGGTGTAGAGCACCGACTGCTTCCCGGGTAAGTCCCTTTCTCTTTCTGTCTTTGATGAGATAGTTCCAGGGAGCCGTAGGGGCTCCTCCCAGAAAACCAGCGTTGAATGTAATGAAACACAATTTTCTGGATAAGTCCCAGAGGCTGCCCGGCTGCCCTCCCTCTGGTCGGCGTTTTTTCCCATTTTTGATATCCAGCCTCTCAAATGAGAGGTGAATCTCCGGCGTGGGGGTCTGGGGCCCCCCATTTCCCCTCTCGGGGACGGGGAAAGCTGCGCAGACATGCGGCGCGGCTCAGGTGACGTCATGCTTGTTTGCTCGTTTTTCTTTTGGGGAGTTCTATCCACTCATTGGCATTTTTCATTGTTTTAACCTGAATAGGGATTTGTTTTGTGGCACTTACCTTTCTGGATCCTTGTGCCTCTGTGAGGGGCCAGGTTTTGGCTCGTGGTCCCTGGTAGGCCTAGAACTCCACCCACATTAACTGATGCAAAATAGTTAGGGGTATCCATATCAGCCTGGATAGCTCCGGGATGCCCCTGGGACTCACCTAGAAAATGTCGCTTCATTACATTCAACGCTGGTTTTTTATCACAGTCAAGGGTCTTCTGTAATACTATCATCGCTAAATAATAGCATGTTCATATATATTTTGACATTTTTAGGTGATGCTGTGGTCACAAGCTGAACAAAGCTGAACAGTGGTGCTGTGCGCTCAAGCTGCGTGCGTCAGCCTTGGTGGCTCACTCAGAACTGAGGCTCTCACACCTGGATATGTTACCCACGATTTTTTTTCAAGATCGCGTTTGTTTACTATCGGGTCTGGCTGGACTATAGCTGCCCCTATCCCTCGCAGGGCATTTAAAATCGTGCACTAGACCCTCAATCGTATATGTATGTATTGTGCGGTTTCGGGAAAGTTACTCCCATTGTATATGTATGTATGTACTGCGCGGTTTAAGTGTTAAGCCGCCAGACAAAACCTGGCAGCTATAAGAAGATCAGATGTGTGTGGGAGGACTTCCTGCAGCCACAAGAATCATTCCTCTGAAAAATTTCCAATCTCTGACCACAAATATTTTTGTCACAGATATTCACATATTTTAGTCAACTACAGTTTTCCACTTTTATTGGCAAGTTCAGTGTATATAATATTTTTAGTAAAAATAAAGAAAAAACTCATCTGTGACATATATTATTTTATTCACAAAACAATTTCTCCTGTTTTTAATCCAGCCATTTACCAACAGAACCAATAGATGGTGATGACCAGGAAGAGGACTCTGTGTCACTTGGTGGAGACGGTCTCCCAGAAGACACACCTCATAGTGATGACAATGTCAGTACCTCGTGTGTTGGGGACGACGAGACCAGTAGAGATGACACACTCCACACACACACTAACTTCACCAACTTTGCATGTAAAAAGTGCACCACTAGTGAGGTGAGAGATTGTCAAGTGAGGGGGTAATGTGAGTAAAGCTCCCTCGGTAGCTTCCAAATAATTCCTGTTGTTGGGGGACAGGAAGCCTGTACTTTGTCTTGTATCAAGGTCACTCTATGGTTGACCTACTGACTTTCCCCAGGATGCAACCCACAACAGTTGCTTAACTCCTGGGTACCTACTTACTGCTGGGCAAACAGAGTCATTGGGTGAAAGGAAACGTCCATCCATTTCTGACCTGCCGGGATTCGAATCCAGGATCGCCGTTTGTGAGTTGAGATCATAGCTGTACTGCAGGATCTCCAATATTCAAATTGTCTTTGTATCCGTAAAGCATCGGTTCCTAACTTTGAGGTGTGAGGTGCTCTCAGTGTACTTATGCAACCTGACCCCCTTACTAAACGCACTACATTTCTAACGCAGTTGACCCCGGCATAAAAATTGTGGTGGTTTACGGGAATTTAAAAACTCCACAATAGCGATCCTTCGAGGTCATAACAATTATCGGCTACAGTAGATTAGATGGGTAGTGTGGGTTCTGACACTTTTGTTTAGGTTAACCACAGCATTTGTTACGGACAGGAAATAGTCAAAACGGGCTGGGTTGTAAGACATCAAATCTTTTACATCAGAAACAAATATACAACTACAGCTACATTGGTTCATCCAACCTATGTATTTATACAGTTGTTAAAGTTTATTGTAATATACAAACGGAAAATTAATAAAATTAAGTATTGAGTCATTGATCATATAGAATTTGTTATTTTCTTGTTCAGCGATACCTTGGTTTTCGAATTTAATCTGTTCCCAAAGACAGGGGCGTAAGCCGAAAATTCACAAACCGAAACGAATTTTCCCAAAAGAAATAATGTAATTACTGTAACCCTGCGATTATCCGGGATTCAAACATCCGGAAAACGCCCTAATATGGTCAAAATTGTGATCGGATAAAGTTATCACAATATCCGGCCAAAATGGCCACAGGAACCGGATAAAAGCTGGTTTGGCCGGATGAAAATTCGGCCATACCGTATTGAAATTGAAATTGAAATAAGTTTATTGAGGTAAAATACACACAAAGGGATGAGGTAGCTCAAGCTATTCTCACCCTGTTCAGTACAACGTGTTAGTACATACATACACACATCACAAACAATAAACCTGTTACCAAACATTCTGAGAGATAAACATGTACATTTCCTCCTTCACAAGTAGTATGGTATCAGACGTACACAAATACTTTTATGACCTAGTTATAAATTCAACAAAATATTACAGTCTTGGTGCAAAATTCTTATATCTCTCAAGAATATCATCAACCTTTCCTTTGTGACACATCCAGGCTATTTGCTCAGGAACAGTCCTTATCTCAGTGTTTCTATATACATTAATCAATGGACAATCAAGAACATATTAATCCCGTCTGTGGCTCTAGACGCATGGTGGAGGAAGGGGTGGGGTGGGTGGGTGGTGTTGGGAGGGTGGGAGGGGAGCGTCGGGAGGGACCACCTGGGTACAGGAATTACCATTAATTTTAGAACAATTAATCATAGCCAAAAACAAATGAAATAAGTACTAGTAAATATGTAATAACAAATAAATAAGTTTCCTAAAAGCAATGTGCACAGGCTGAAGTTTCCTTAGAAAATATTGTGAGTTTCAACCCATGTGCGTCCGTCCCTCGTGTTATACACAGTGCTGCACCATTAGTGAAATATTTTTTTAAATAACTTTTTATTTTCATAGTAACTTTGAACATTTTTGGCCAAGACTATGTCTGGTAGCAGCATCAATCGTTCTGGAGGTGTTAAGAGGAAGAAGGTTGTCCTAGCAATTAAAGACAAGTTACGTGTTGTTCAACCAGTGAGGCGCCACAGGCAAGCCAAGTGCCTTCAAGTGAGGCGCAAGCAAGCGCCTTCAACAAGTAAGGCGCCACAGGCAAGCCAAGCGCCTTCAACAAGTGAGGCGCAAGCAAGCGCCTTCAACAAACGAGGCATCACAGGCAAGCCAAATGCCTTCAACAAGTGAGGCTTCACAGGCAAGCCAAGCGCCTTCAACAAGTGAGGTGTCACAGGCAAGCCAAGCGCCTTCAACAAACGAGGCCTCACATGCAACCCAAATGCCTTCAACCAGTGAAGCTTCAGCAGCTGGCAGTCAAAACTAACTTTGCTTAATGAACTGTACAGTAATTTTAAGTGTTAATTTTAGTGTTGTGTTAGTATAGGTTACGTAAATTGTTAAGAATTCTTAACTTCAAGATGTGTGGCATCAATCAAGAAGACGAACACCAACAAGATAAGTTGAGGTTTCTAGTTGAATATTTAATAATTATATATGGCAAGGCAATTCAAATTATGTTGTTTGTAGTATAAAAATAGTTGGAAATGGTCAATTTTGGACTCGTAGGTAAAAAAGTACCATTATCCGAAAAATGTGATAATCCGGCTGGGGGTCCTTCCCATATAGTCTGGATGATCGAGTGGAGACAGTATTTATTAATCAATCCATATGGAATTAATCCGTTCCACACTCCCAAAAATATTAGCTTCAAAATACATTTCATACATAATACGCCCAAATATCTTGTACTATAATATGTACATGTTATAGCTTACCTTTATTGATGACTCTTGTTGGCATATGGAAGATGGTGAGGAGGAGGGTGGAGGAGAGGGATTACTGTTTGGAAGGGGAGTCTCCTTCCATTATAACATCAGGCAGTGAGGACTTCTCTGGTGTGCACACTCTGGCACATTTTGCCTGCATACCACTAGGACCTGCTTGTGGCTCACTGCTTGCTTGTCTTACTAAGAATCTGTCTAAAGACACTTGTTTTTCCCTACATTTTAACACTTGTCTGTAGTAAGACAGCACATTGTCATTTAAAAGGTCAATGCAACGGCCTGCTACAGCTTTATCTGGGTGAGTTTTCTCAACAAAACTTTGCAGTTCTTCCCATACTTCACACATTTTCTTAATGAAGAAATCTTAGGTTGAACCTTACCACTGACTTTCTTGGGACCCCATGGCAAGATATATAATAATTGCTTTTATGTTCAAATACCCAAAAATGCAGAAAAATAATGAAATTCTTTACAAAGGATGATTAAAGGTACAAGAATCATACAAAACCCAGGCAAGGCAAAGAGAGCAAAAAGGCCATCAGTGAAATAGAGAGAAATCTGATTTTTTTTTCTCCTATGCAAAATCAAGATAAAAAAATCACATCTAGTATCGGGCCCCTGCGAAAGGGAGATGTAACTTTTACCGATGATGCCAAAGAAATGAGCGAGATACTGAGGAAGCAGTACAACTCTGTTTTCAGCGAGCCACTAAACACACTAAAGATTGATAACCCAAATGAATTTTTCTTGGATATAATACCAACATCAAATCATATATCAGATGTCACCCTATCCCCTCACTGGATTTTGAAGAAGCCATAGACACTCTGCACCAGGCCCTGACTCTTGGAGCTCTATATTCATCAAGAACTGTAAAAAACCACTATCGCAGGCCCTTTACATTCCTTGGAGACAAAGCCTAGATACTGGCATTATCCCTGACATACTAAAAACAGCAGAGATAGCACCGTTCCATAAAGGAGGAAATAAGGCAGAAGCAAAAAATAACAGACCGATAGCACTAACATCACACATCATAAAAATCTTTGAGTGCTAAGAAGTTAGATCACAAAATACATGGAATCACAGCATCTCCATAACCCCGGACAACATGGTTTCAGAACAGGGTGCTCTTGCCTATCACAGTTGCTGGACCACTATGATATGGCACAAGATGCCATGGAAGACAAACAAAACGCTGATGTAATATATACACAGATTTAGCAAAAGCCTTTGACAAGTGTGACCATGGTGTTATTGCACATAAAATGCGTTCAAAAGAAATTACCGGAAAAATAGGCAGATGGATCTACAATTTCCTCATTAATAGAACCCAATGTGTTATAGTCAACAAAATATAATCCGGTCCATCAACTGTGAAGAGCTCAGTCCCCCAGGGTACTGTGCTTGCTCCAGTACTTTTTCTCATCCTCATATCGGACATAAACAAGGACACAACCTATAGTACTGAATCATCCTTTGCAGTGTTTTAGATTTTCTGTGTGTGGACGTTGCTTCGTTCGTTTCTCTGCTTCTGGGAGTGGGGTGGCTCTGGGTGGAGCCTTCTCCACCTCTGTACTGCACCTTGTCTTCTGCTGGGCACGCACCTGTGGACGTCTTTCAACTTTGACTTCACATTTTCTTCAGGTCCCGGTACATACGATACCTCCTGCCTTTTGTGCACATACTGTTTCAGGCAGGCCTCTGGCGTTGCTCCTGGTATGTTACTCTGCTCGACTGTGTTGTGGCTGGGTTGTGCCTCTGCTCTGCAGGTGAGGTTGTACTGTCTGGCGACTGTCGGCCAGGTGCTGGGTCTCGACGTTTGGTGGGGTACTTTCCTGGTTGTCCTTGCACCTGGGTCTTTTTCCCTATATTTGGGCACTCCTTCGTTCTCTCGGTCCATGCTTCTGTGTCCTCCTTCCTTGCTTGGTCTCTGCTCTGGACACTTCTTCCTTGCCTATCTTCGGTGCCTGGCTGCACCCTGATGTCCATGGTGTCTCTCTGTGTGTGGGCGTCCTCCCACTTCACACTTTGTGGTTGGTTGTGTACTTTCCACATTCAAATTTCAAACTCGCCTTTTTCTTCAGGAATAGTACTTACACAGTTGATATACGAACGTGCTGTTGGTGCTAGTACTTCCATTACCTGCAGCCACTCATACGTATAGCGTTTTGGGCAAGTTCCGGTCCTTTGCGTTCCCGACGGCTACTTGGTCCGTTTTCATATTTTTTTCCTTGCTTGTTCCCATTTTCCTCCTCCTAAGCTACACATGGCTGTGCTTCTGGGTCAGATCTTCTTGGCTATACTGTTGTTGGGTGCTGAGGTGGGCCTCTGTCCTAGTTCAGTTCCCTGCTTTTGGACTGCCCCTGTGTTCCGTTTTGGTACCGAGTTCCTTCACTTTTTTTTGTCTCACTGCAAGCTTCTGTGTTGCACTGTCTGGGGGAAGTTGTGGACTTCCGGTCCGCCGCTCCTGCCCTACTGGTTTCCCTTTTTGGGTCTGGTAGCTGGGATTCCAGTCCTGGTTCCAGCTTTTCCTTGTTCCTTTTCCGGACCGTACATTTTTGTTTGCCTGCGGTTTGCATCGTGCGTAGTTTCCCCTCAGGTCTCCCTCGAAGATGTGAGAGTCGTTGTTCCCTGCTGGAGCTGGTTGCGCTGCTCCTTTGGGTTGGTAGGGTTGCTGTTTTTCGTTTCGTGTTTCGCGTTTTCCTTCGTGGTGCCCGCTGTCCTCGTTGGCCTCTGCCTGGGCCCTGGCTTTTCGGTGTTTGGCCTTGTTGGTCCTTTAGGGGTGCTGGGGGGGGGGGGGAGGTTCCTCCAGGACGGCACGTTTCTGCTCACTCTGGTTGGTTCCTTCGGCTCGCTGGGGTTGGGTTTCCTGGTTCCCTGGTGGCCATTCCTTTTGGTTTTGGCCTTCCTTGGTGGACCCTGCTGCTTTCTTTGGTTTTGATTCTGTGGGTCTTCCCACGGCTCTGCCTCCATTTTGCGGGTCGGTTCCGTCCTGTGCAGGGCTGGTTTGTTCCTCCCCTCGAATCTTTGCATCTCGGCTTTTAACTCGTTTCTCGTCGCTTGTGTGGGCGCCGGTGGCTGCATTGTTGGTCTCCCTCCTGCGTGCTTCACCGTGCTTTACCTCCTACCTGTGTGTGGTTTGTCCTGGCGGTCCTTCTGGTTTTCCTATCACTGCGAAGGGTTCTTCGGTCTCTGATAGGGTTGTCTTGTCTTTCCCTTTGGGGTTGTTAAGGGACCGTCTTCTGGTACCGTGTACTGTCTTGGGTGGCGCTGGCAGAGCCGCTCCAGCTTGTGGTCGGTGTTGCTGTTCCTTCTTCGTTCCGCTTGCTGTCTTGGGAGTTATTTTCCCTCCTGCCTGCTCTTGTGTTTCCAGTGCCGTCCTGGTTGAGTGCCCGAGTGGTCTCTTTTTCTTCTCCTCGGTTTGGTCTTTGGGTTGCTGTTTGGTTGGTCAGGCTGGGGATGCTTCCTTGTTGTTCGGTTGCGGTTCTTCGCTGTTCGCGGCGCTTCTTAGCCTCTGGGATCACAGGCGCGTTTTGGTTTGCCCGGGTTCCCTTCCTTCCCTCATTTCTGTTCTGGGGTTCGGGTCTCCCGGGTTGTCTGCAGGTTTTTTTCTCTTCTTGAGGTTATCTTGAGGTTATCTTGAGATGATTTCGGGGCTTTAGTGTCCCCGCTGCCCGGTCCTCGACCAGGCCTCCACCCCAAGGAAGCAGCCCGTGACAGCTGACTAACTCCCAGGTACCTATTTACTGCTAGGTAACAGGGGCATTCAGGGTGAAAGAAACTTTGCCCATTTGTTTCTGCCTCGTGCGGGAATTGAACCCGCGCCACAGAATTACGAGTCCTGCGCGCTATCCACCAGGCTACGAGGCCCCTTCGTCTGTGGTCTTGTTTTTAGGTTAGGGGGTGTGGCGTCCGCCTCCCAGGTCCTTCCCTCTTTTACTTATCTGTGGTGAGGTAGCTCCGGGGAGCAGATGGGGCTCCCCTCCAGAAAACCAGCATTGAATGTAATGAAATGCCATTTTCTGGGTGAGTCCCGAAGGTTCCCCAGCATCCCTCCCTCTCTCCGGTTGGCAGTGTTTTTCGTGCTCTTTGACATCCAGCTTAAGAACTGAAGGTTGGGTCGCCAGTGGATGGGTCTGCTGGGAGGGGGGGGTTGCGCAGACGGCAGCGCGGCGACGTGTGACGTCATGGTTGTTTGCTCATTTCTTTTAGGGGAGTTCTATCCACTTGTTCGGCTTGTGGTAGCAATATTTTCACCAGAATAGTTGTTTGTTTTGGGATGCTTACCTTTCTGGGTGCCTGACTCGGTCGATGGCAGACATAGAATGCTTCCAACCACACGGGGGTTTCTATAGGCCATTGCTACCACATGCCTTTCTAGAGGGGGCCAGGTTCTGGCCGTGGTCCCTGGTAGGCCCATAAGAACTCCATACACATGACTGATGCCAAAGTCTGACATTAGCATATCAGTCTAGTAAGCTCCGGGGAGCCTCCGGGTCTCACCCAGAAAATGGCGTTTCATTACATTCAATGCTTTTTTTTTAAATATTCGTCTAAAATCAATTTCTGAAAATATTTTTATGAAAGTTTCACGACACTGAAGCCAATAAGTTGGAGATTTGTTTAACATTTTTAAGTAATTTTTACATAATTTGAATATTTTTTAAATTATACCCCCTTATGCTGAGCAGTTTAAGGTTAAGGCTCAGAGCAGGCATCAGTGTATTGGTCTTTTCATAGTATCAAAGTACAGTATATGTATTGGAATACGATATCAGTATTGGTCAAAATAAGTGTATTGTTACACCAATAATTAGCAGTGTTTATGTGGAGGGGGGCGGAAACTTCCTCCCTTCTGGCCATAGGTATAAAGAGCCCATACTATTTAACTGGATTTTCAATTACAGGGCATCTGCCAAGAATAGCAGTGTACAGCTATTCTTGTTTTTAGGCAAGATCTCAGAAATGGTCATATAAAATGTCTTCAAATTTTGTATTCTGGTGCATTAATGGAATCTTACGTACTTTATACATTTTCAGCCCTGTAGGCCTCTTGCTGCAGCTTTAAAGACGACGACAACATCTCCAGGCCAGCGCCAGGCAAAGAGGAAGACAAGGCATGCCTCCTTTGAACCTTTTGAGAAGGAAGAGAGAGAGCCATATAATACATGCCATCCTCATGCCGTCAAGGAAGAGCAAAATATGGCAAGAAAAGTCATAAGTGAAGATAATCCATCTAGGACTGTGAACACCTGCAGGGGAGCATATCTTAGAGAGATGGAGGATGCCCTCTATTTCTGGATACAGAATCAGCACAGGAAAAATATACCCATCGATGGCACCATCATCATTGAGAAGGCTACACAATTACAGGCAGCCATTGAGAAAAAGAATGGGGCCTCAGGTATTTTATTCAGTGCTTCGTCTGGTTGGCTGAGAAGCTTCAAGAAGCGACATGGCCTAAACATTACGATGCGTGCCGGTGCTGACCATACCATTGTACTGCCCCACCCTGCTGCTGACCATGCAGGGTCTCACTCTGCTGCTGACTCCACGGCTGCGTCGTCCCACCATGCTGTTGGTCGTATTACTGCATCGTTCAGCCATGCTGCTGACTGTCCTGCTGCACCATCTGATCTGCTGACTGGCCACACTGCTACACCATCCCACTCTAACGATGATTGTGCTGCTATATGGTCTTATCCTGCCCAGTTTGCAGCAATTATCAAGGAAGGATGCTATTCTCCAGAGCAGGTGTGTATAGATCATCAGTTTCCACACTTGGTACCTTGTCTCTTGATGAAAGTAATTTTTTATTTTATTTAAATTTAAATTCAAGAGTTACTCTACAAATGTTTAATTTTGTCTTAATTTTTAGTAATATCTTTTCCACAGGTATTCACTGTAATTGAGACTGTCCTTTTCTGGAAGCGTCTTCCTCCCAAGACCTTCCTGATGAAGGAGGAAAAGGCTGTTTCGGGTTTCAAGGCCTCCAATGACTATATGACTTTGTTGTTCTGCTCAAATGCAGCGGGGGACTTCAAGCTGCCTCCTCTGCTGGTGTATCGATCCCTTTGTCCCCACGAACTCAAGAACGTTTTCAGTCTACCTGTAGTATGGCGAGCTAACAGCAAGGCTTGGATGACATCGGCGATCTTTACTGATTGGTACCAGCATAACTTCATTCCTGTCGTGGACAAGTACCTGACGTCGAGAAACCTGCCAAGTAAAGCCATCTTGTTTGTTCACAGTACTCCCAGTCACCCACAAACCCTGAAGGGCACTGTTGATGGTGACGGATACCGCCTCGAGTTCTTCCCGCCTGACACCAGCTCTCTGTTGCAGTCGCTCGACCAAGGAGTGATAGCACAGATCAAGAGACTGTACACCAAGCAGGTACTATGGGATATGCTTTTGTATGTTGAAGGCAAAGGTAATGGTAGAAAAGGAGTGGTTGAATTTTGGAAAAAATTTAACATCAGAAATGCCATCTCTATCATTACAGACTCCTGGGAGACAGTCGATTCCCCTTGCCTTCATGAGACATGGGAGTTCCTGTGGTCTGAAATTATGTCCGACTTTCATGGTTTTCTTGACTCCCAAGCAGAAATTTCTGGTATTGTGAAGATTGCCAACAGCATCCCTGGAAAAGGATTTGATGATCTGGTGGCCGAAGACATCATGGGGCATCTGGAAAGTCAATGTCCCATTCCCACCCCAGATGAAGTTCTCGAATTGAGTACCGAAGCAATCATTGAGGGACATAATGACGACTCTGAAGTCACTACGTCACAGATGTCTTTATTAGCAATGAGGCAATTTGTGGCCTATATGAACTGTGGTCTTGAAATTGCTGACAGTGACCCCAATTTTAGGCGTGCTTCAGTAGCTGCTCGTCAAATAAGAAAAGTACGTGAAGTTTATATCAGGGCCATCAGTGCTCAGTCTTCTCAGAAGAAAATGATACTTTTTTAAGCCAGCATGTACATCTATTCTGTAAATAAAACTATATTTTACAATGCTAGTTTTTGTTTACATAAAAATTGATATGTGAAAATGATGGGAACATGACTAGATTTGCATGCATGAGAAATGTAAGAAAGTATAGCTATCAAGCTGTCAGGCTTGGTGGAAAGCCCGGCGGGATTCATAGTCCTAAGGTTCCGGATTCGATCCCCGGCGGAGGCAGAAACAAATGGGCAGAGTTTCACCATGATGCTCCTGTTCACCTATCAGTAAATAGGGACCTTGGAGTTAGACAGCTGCTACAGGCTGCTTCCAGGTGATGTGTAATGAAAAGGAGGCCTGGTTGAAGGCCGGGCCGCGGGGACGCTAAGCCTCGAAATCATCTCAAGATAACCTCAAAATGCCAATGTCTATGGAAAAGTAAGTAGACCAGTGAAGATCTTAACGTGGGGGAAGCTGCGGATGCTGATGTGTATGTAGAGATTGTGAAGCCGTGTCCAATTTGATGTATTCAGGTAACTGTGTGAAAAAATATAAACGAATTAGTGGTTTAATAATTTAAATACCTTGGATGTGTAATTGAGAAGTAGAGTGACTGGTGCAATAAAAACCCCGGCTGGAAGAAACATGATGGGAAGAGAGTGCGCCAGAGGTCTGCACAAAGAAAGAAGATGAAGCCAGAGGCCTGCATGAAGGAATGGTAATGCCACTGTGTGTTTTGACTTTGTTGGTTTGGGATGCTTGAAGGACACACCTGAAAGGCTGGAGCTGAACGATTTTTATGGACTTATAGATAAAATGATAACACTAATGGCCTTGACGAGGACAGGAAGCCGGCAGCTTGTCAAAAGTCCCATCATTTGTCCTGATGATTTTTTCCAGGTGGATTTTAAAATATAACAGTTTTGGTATTTAGGGTTTGGACAGATAGGCGGTTCCATGGGTTAATAACCCTGTGGGTGAAAAAGCATCTCCTGTTCTCTGTCCTACATTGTGGCTTGTTGAGCTTGTCACTGTTGTTCCTTGTTTGTGTTACATTGTGGCTTGTTGAGCTTGTCACTGTTGTTCCTTGTTGGTGTTACATTTTGGCTTGTTGAGCTTGTCACTGTTGTTCCTTGTTTGTGTTACATTGTGGCTTGTTGAGCTTGTCACTGTTGTTCCTTGTTGGTGTTACATTGTGGCTTGTTGAGCTTGGCACTGTTGTTCCTTGTTTGTGTTACATTGTGGCTTGTTGAGCTTGTCACTGTTGTTCCTTGTTTGTGTTACATTGTGGCTTGTTGAGCTTGTCACTGTTGTTCCTTGTTTGTGTTACATTGTGGCTTGTTGAGCTTGACACTGTTGTTCCTTGTTGGTGTTACATTGTGGCTTGTTGAGCTTGTCACTGTTGTTCCTTGTTTGTGTTACATTGTGGCTTGTTGAGCTTGTCACTGTTGTTCCTTGTTTGTGTTACATTGTGGCTTGTTGAGCTTGTCACTGTTGTTCCTTGTTGGTCCAACATTGTGGCTTGTTGAGCTTGATATTGTTGTTCCTTGTTGGTCCAACATTGTGGCTTGTTGAGCTTGTCACTGTTGTTCCTTGTTGGTCCAACAATGTGGCTTGTTGAGCTTGACACTGTTGTTCCTTGTTTGTGTTACATTGTGGCTTGTTGAGCTTGACACTGTTGTTCCTTGTTTGTGTTACATTGTGGCTTGTTGAGCTTGTCACTGTTGTTCCTTGTTGGTGTTACATTGTGGCTTGTTGAGCTTGACACTGTTGTTCCTTGTTGGTCCAACATTGTGGCTTGTTGAGCTTGTCACTGTTGTTCCTTGTTGGTCCAACATTGTGGCTTGTTGAGCTTGTCACTGTTGTTCCTTGTTGGTCCAACAATGTGGCTTGTTGAGCTTGACACTGTTGTTCCTTGTTTGTGTTACATTGTGGCTTGTTGAGCTTGACACTGTTGTTCCTTGTTGGTGTTACATCTATCCTTTTGAAGATGTTGTCCAGATCAACATCCTCCAAATTGTTCAATGGATGACCTGTGCATGTTTTCTGGACGTCTCAGAACCGAAACTGAACGAGTTTGTCTTCTGTAGTACAGTCGGGTTCGAATCCTGAGTTGAACACATTGCCTTTGCTTATCACTAAATGCCGCTGTTCACCTAGCAGTAAATAGGTACCCAGGAGGTAGTCAGCTTGTTGTGGGGTTGTCTCCTGGGCGGGGTCAGTAATTCCACCCTAGGGGGGGGAGGGAGTTGACCTCGATATAAGCCTACCACTTGGAACCTTGAACTGCTGACCATAAAACAGCAGCCAGCCACTCTACCAACTAAGCCATGAAGACCCTGTTAAAGGAACGGTTCCAGAGGCACCAATCAGCTACCCAACTGAATCTTTAGACCTTCTCATGGTAAGGTGATCCACGTTCCCGTCATGTATATAAAAGTAAATTCAGGTAAATAAAATGTCATCCACACTTCTGTGGAAATAAACATTCCATTCACCTGGGCCCTACTTTCCTTATTGGAAATAAGGAAACTTTCCTTATTAAGACTATGCAATAGCTCGGTCAATAGAGGTTCAGCCTCACATACGTGGGGGGCCACGTTTCGAGTCTCCTAGAGCCCAGGTAAATACACACTGGCTGTGTGACCCTGACACAATTATTAATTATTATTATAAAGTGGTTCATCATCCTGAAAATTATGTGGAGAAATTTGACAGTATTTGTACTCGCCAATATGAGCAACATCTACAGATTGCCTTTCACCAAGTCCTCTAATGTGCTTAATGCCATGATGGAGTTTATAGCTTCAGAGCCATCCATCACTGTATGAAGACTGCTCCAAAATTTTTATTGATTTGTGAAATTCGTTGGCTTGTTCCATGAGCAGGCAGCCTACCACTGGCTTCTTCAACTCCTCCTGCCTCCACTTGTACTACTCCCATACTGCTTTATAAACACTCTCCACCTTTACTTATCACCTTTCTATTATGTAGTGATTCATCACTTTCACATCTAGAGAAATAGTCAAAATATGTTAGTACTGACCTCTTTCTCTTTCTTATCCCGCATGTAAAAGTTTTCACAGACACAGTGGGTGCATCTGGAGCTGAATGGTGCATGGATGTTCCTAGATTTTTAACAATATATCTAACAGTCACGAAATGAATTTTCCACTGTCTCGGGACAAAAAAAATAATTTTCCTTCCCCCACCACAACCACCAGTTTATCGAACATTATTATTTGGACCCACGCATCTCACCAGTTAACCGAACTTTATTATTTGGGTCGCGTACCTCACCAATTAATTAAACTTTTCATTCATACAACAACAGAACTGCTAATATGCATATTAGCAGTTCTAATCATATGCTAATATATCATATTAGCATATTGGAAAAGTAGTGTCTGGAAAGCACGTTGTCGTTACTAGACTAATACGGTATGCCACCAGGACTAATACCTGAGCGGAAGGGTACGAGTTACAAGGAGAGACTAAGGGAAGTAAACCTTATGTTGCTGGAAGACATTAGAGTTAAGAAGAAGACTGAAGGGAGACATGATCACCACCTACAAAACTCTCAGGAGAATTGATAGGGGAAGATAAAGACATAATTTAACAAAGGTTGTACATGCATGAGGGGACACAGATGGACACTTGAGTACCAAAATGAGCAACAGAGATATTATTGTCAGTGTAAGGTAGTTAATAAATGGAATGCGCTAGGCAGTGATGTGGTGGAGGCAGACTCCTTACACAGTTTCACATGATTGAGGTCAATAGGCTTTGACAGTTAAGAGACGGGACCAAAGAACCGAAGCTCAATCCCCGCAAGCATAATTATGCGAGTACAGCTAGATGAGTACCCTCCAAAGCCATAAATGCCAAAAACTCTGCTGAACTTTAAAATCTAGCTTGAAAAAAATCATCAGAACAAATGGGAGTACTTGACAAACTGCCGGCTTCCCGTCCTCATCGATGCCAGTAGTGTGTCAGTGGCACTTAGGTAAATTCAGGTACATAAGCAATCACTGCAACCCCCCACACACTAAATAATATTGTCACCAATGAATTAAAAAAAAGTCCACTCGTGGATGTTAACCAACAAACTTACATTAAACATAGAAAATACTTACATTTTATTTGGTAGTAAATCATCAAATCAAATTACCAATAAAAATAAGAAGTTCCTTGGCCTATACATAGACAAGATACTCAACTCAGCACCCACATACAACACATAGCCAAAAAAGTCTCAAAAATGATCGGTGTACTCTCTAAAATCAGATACAGTGGCACCTCGACATACGATTGCCCCTACTTACGATAATTTCGAGTTACGATATAAATTTCATCGAAAAATGCGACTCGACATCCGATATTTGTTGGTACATGTTCGGGTCTGCCGAGCGCGTGGTTCCCGGTCACGCAGTCCGACCTGCCTCAGTTTACTACAGCTACCCACTTAGTGACGATCGCGCCTATAAGAAATAACGCTTTTGTGGTGATTTTTTGCATTTTGAACATTAAAGTAATTATTATATAATACGCCATGAGTCCCAGGAAAGTCAGTGGTAAGGCTCAACATATGAGATCTCATGTAAGAATGACCATTGAGCAGAAACAAGAGATCATTCGTAAATATGAAGATGGTGTGCAGGTAGGTGAACTGGCCAGGCAGTACAACAAATCTCAGTCAACGATATCCACCATACTAGCTAAGAAAAAGGACATTATGGGTGCTAAAGTGATGCATCATTACAGACAAATGTTAAAACGAAGGGAAAAACAAATGTCTCTTGACAAATTTGTAGTGAGACAAACAAGCACTGAACCACAACCAGGTCCTAGTGGTATTCAGGCAAAACGTAGGAGAGAGAGTACCCCAGAGAAAACATCACTGCCTAATGTGATAATGGAAGGGGACTCCCCTTCCAAACAGTAACAACTCTCCTCCTCCTCCCCCATCACCATCTTCCATATGCCATCAAGAGCCCTCCATAAAGGTAAGTGAAACTTTGGTACTGTATTGTAGTTAGAAAAAAAACATTGTATTCAGTATAAAATGTATTTTTATGTTAATATTTTGGAGGGTGGGGAACGGATTAATTCAAATCCCTTTATTTCTTATGGGAAAATTCGCTTTGACTTCCAATATTTCGACTTCCGATCCGTCTCTGGGAAAGGATTTGCATCGAAAGTCGAGGCCCCATTGTACCTGTATTATGTTCCCCCACTCTGCTTTCCTTTCACTATACTACACGCTAATCTATCCCTATCTTACATAAGGTATTTGTGCATGGGGTTCAACCACTGCAAACTACCTCAAGCCCATCATCACCCAGCAAAAATCTGCTAATCCCCTCTGCTAAAGTCCCTTAGCAAGCTAGACATAAACTTCACACACATTTTTTTTTTTTTTTTTGAGATATATACAAGAGTTATTACATTCTTGTACAGCCACTAGTACATGTAGCGTTTCGGGCAGGTCCCTGGAATACAATCCCCGCCGTGAAGAATCGTTTTTACAACCAAGTACCCATTTTACTGTTGAGTTAAACAGAGGCTAAAGTTAAGGATTTGTGCCCAGTAAATCCTCCCCGGCCAGGATACGAACCCAGGACAAAGCGCTCGTGGAATGCCAGGCGAGTGTCTTACCACTACACCACGGAGACTGTAGATAGCACATTCTCATGTGCTATCTACATGTACAAAACATTGTTCCTAAATGCTAATCTTGATCTGAAACTTTAACTTGACAGATGTAATAGAACCCATGATCACACCAGAAATAAATATATCTTTGATATCCCCAGAGTCAGGCTAAATCTGTGTAAACACGCCATGCAAATAAAAGGACCCAGTCTTTGGAACTCTCTCCCTGATGAATTATAAAATTGTCCAACCCAGCCTCTGTTCAAAAGTAAATTAAAAAAGTACCTAATTTCAATCTCATTTCTTTATTTATATATACAAGAGTTCTTACATTCTTGTACAGCCACTAGCACACACAGCATTTCAGGCAAGTCCTTAATCCTAATACTGTACTGTATTCACACACGCACATCCCCAGGAAGCAGCCCTTAGCAGCTATCTAACTCGGTACCTATTTACTGCTAGGTGAACAGGGGCATCAGGGTGATAGAAACTATGTCCATTTATTTCCGTCTCCGCCGGGCATCAAACTCGGACCCGTAGGACTATGAACCCCGAGCACTGTCCACCCAGCCGTCAGGCCTGGTTTCCTACCTTGTGCTCCAAACTCTCAATGTATCTTGTACTGTCAGTGGCTTCACTAGAATGTAAAAACTCTGCATATGTAAATAAAAAAATTGGTAATAAAATCAGTAATGTAATCTCACCAACCCATTGTACATTCTTGTAAATAAAATATTATTATTATTATTATTATTATTATTATTATTATTATTATTATTATTATTATTATTATTATTATTATTATAATTGTCAACTAGCCCAGAACATTAATCTGAGAATAAATGTTTAGTGACTGAGGTGTCCCCAAGAATATTATAATAATAATATAAGAAGGAAGGCAGTATTCAGCTCATAATTTTTTTTTCATTTATGGCGGGTCTTGGAGTCACGTGATCTGTGACGTCACAAGTGTAAACAAACAGGTGTACGAAACTCCCTTCAGTGTACGAAACTGTTATCCACCCTAGTAGGTCACGTCGTACACTGGTGGTGGTTCACCTGAGAGTTATAAAGCCTAACAAGCCTTAACAAAGTCTGACACAGTCTGACCTATCTTAATACATCGTAAACTTACTATATATGTGTGTATGTGTGACTTAAACAAGCAGAACACGAACTATCGTCAAATCATGATGTGTACGATTTGACTATAAGGGAACTTGGACGTACAGCAGTAGGACCAGACGAGTGAGGTTCCGGCTGCCCCGGGAGGCCGTCTCTTGTCTCACCCTAGTGTACCTGTCTGCTTGTGACACCCTAGTGTACCTGTCTGCTTGTGACACCCTAGTGTACCTGTCTGCTTGTGACACCCTAGTGTACCTGTCTGCTTGTGGCACCCTAGTGTACCTGTCTGCTTGTGACACCCTAGTGTACCTGTCTGCTTGTGACACCCTAGTGTACCTGTCTGCTTGTGACACCCTAGTGTACCTGTCTGCTTGTGACACCCTAGTGTAACTGTCTGCTTGTGACACCCTAGTGTAACTGTCTGCTTGTGACACCCTAGTGTAACTGTCTGCTTGTGACACCCTAGTGTACCTGTCTGCTTGTGACACCCTAGTGTACCTGTCTGCTTGTGACACCCCTAGTGTACCTGTCTGCTTGTGGCACCCTAGTGTACCTGTCTGCTTGTGACACCCTAGTGTACCTGTCTGCTTGTGACACCCTAGTGTAACTGTCTGCTTGTGACACCCTAGTGTAACTGTCTGCTTGTGACACCCTAGTGTACCTGTCTGCTTGTGACACCCTAGTGTACCTGTCTGCTTGTGACACCCTAGTGTACCTGTCTGCTTGTGACACCCTAGTGTAACTGTCTGCTTGTGACACCCTAGTGTAACTGTCTGCTTGTGACACCCTAGTGTACCTGTCTGCTTGTGACACCCTAGTGTACCTGTCTGCTTGTGGCACCCCTAGTGTACCTGTCTGCTTGTGGCACCCTAGTGTACCTGTCTGCTTGTGACACCCTATTGTAACTGTCTGCTTGTGACACCCTAGTGTACCTGTCTGCTTGTGACACCCTAGTGTACCTGTCTGCTTGTGACACCCTATTGTAACTGTCTGCTTGTGACACCCTAGTGTACCTGTCTGCTTGTGACACCCTATTGTAACTGTCTGCTTGTGGCACCCTAGTGTACCTGTCTGCTTGTGACACCCTAGTGTACCTGTCTGCTTGTGACACCCTATTGTAACTGTCTGCTTGTGACACCCTAGTGTACCTGTCTGCTTGTGACACCCTATTGTAACTGTCTGCTTGTGACACCCTAGTGTACCTGTCTGCTTGTGACACCCTAGTGTACCTGTCTATGACACCCTAGTGTACCTGTATGCTTGTGACACCCTAGTGTACCTGTCTATGACACCCTAGTGTACCTGTATGCTTGTGACACCCTAGTGTACCTGTCTATGACACCCTAGTGTACCTGTATGCTTGTGACACCCTAGTGTACCTGTCTATGACACCCTAGTGTACCTGTATGCTTGTGACACCCTAGTGTACCTGTATGCTTGTGACATCCTAGTGTACCTGTCTGCTTGTGATACCCTAGAGTACCTGTATGCTTGTGACACCCTAGTGTACCTGTCTATGACACCCTAGTGTACCTGTATGCTTGTGACACCCTAGTGTACCTGTCTGCTTGTGATACCCTAGTGTACCTGTCTGCTTGTGACACCCTAGTGTACCTGTCTATGACACCCTAGTGTACCTGTATGCTTGTGACACCCTAGTGTACCTGTCTGCTTGTGATACCCTAGTGTACCTGTCTGCTTGTGACACCCTAGTGTACCTGTCTGCTTGTGACACCCTAGTGTACCTGTCTGCATGTGACACCCTAGTGTACCTGTATGCTTGTGACACCCTAGTGTACCTGTCTATGACACCCTAGTGTACCTGTATGCTTGTGACACCCTAGTGTACCTGTCTATGACACCCTAGTGTACCTGTATGCTTGTGACACCCTAGTGTACCTGTATGCTTGTGACACCCTAGTGTACCTGTCTGCTTGTGATACCCTAGTGTACCTGTATGCTTGTGACACCCTAGTGTACCTGTCTATGACACCCTAGTGTACCTGTATGCTTGTGACACCCTAGTGTACCTGTCTGCTTGTGACACCCTAGTGTACCTGTCTGCTTGTGGCACCCTAGTGTACCTGTCTGCTTGTGGCACCCTAGTGTACCTGTCTGCTTGTGACACCCTAGTGTACCTGTCTGCATGTGACACCCCTAGTGTACCTGTCTGCTTGTGGCACCCTAGTGTACCTGTCTGCTTGTGACACCCCTTGTGTAACTGTCTGCTTGTGACACCCTAGTGTACCTGTCTGCTTGTGACACCCCTAGTGTACCTGTCTGCTTGTGGCACCCTAGTGTACCTGTCTGCTTGTGACACCCTAGTGTACCTGTATGCTTGTGACACCCTAGTGTACCTGTCTATGACACCCTAGTGTACCTGTATGCTTGTGACACCCTAGTGTACCTGTCTGCTTGTGACACCCTAGTGTACCTGTCTGCTTGTGGCACCCTAGTGTACCTGTCTGCTTGTGACACCCCTAGTGTACCTGTCTGCTTGTGACACCCTAGTGTACCTGTCTGCTTGTGACACCCTAGTGTACCTGTCTGCTTGTGACACCCTAGTGTACCTGTCTGCTTGTGACACCCCTAGTGTACCTGTCTGCTTGTGGCACCCTAGTGTACCTGTCTGCTTGTGACACCCCTAGTGTACCTGTCTGCTTGTGGCACCCTAGTGTACCTGTCTGCTTGTCTCACCCTAGTGTACCTGTCTGCTTGTGACACCCCTAGTGTACCTGTCTGCTTGTGACACCCTAGTGTACCTGTCTGCTTGTGACACCCTAGTGTACCTGTCTGCTTGTGACACCCTAGTGTACCTGTCTGCTTGTGACACCCCTAGTGTACCTGTCTGCTTGTGACACCCCTATTGTACCTGTCTGCTTGTGGCACCCTAGTGTAACTGTCTGCTTGTGACACCCCTAGTGTAACTGTCTGCTTGTGACACCCTAGTGTACCTGTCTGCTTGTGACACCCTAGTGTAACTGTCTGCTTGTGACACCCCTAGTGTACCTGTCTGCTTGTGACACCCTAGTGTACCTGTCTGCTTGTGACACCCTAGTGTACCTGTCTGCTTGTGACACCCCTAGTGTAACTGTCTGCTTGTGGCACCCTAGTGTAACTGTCTGCTTGTGACACCCTAGTGTACCTGTCTGCTTGTGACACCCTAGTGTACCTGTCTGCTTGTGACACCCTAGTGTAACTGTCTGCTTGTGACACCCTAGTGTACCTGTCTGCTTGTGACACCCCTAGTGTACCTGTCTGCTTGTGACACCCTAGTGTAACTGTCTGCTTGTGGCACCCTAGTGTACCTGTCTGCTTGTGACACCCCTAGTGTACCTGTCTGCTTGTGACACCCCTAGTGTACCTGTTTGCTTGTGACACCCTAGTGTACCTGTCTGCTTGTGACACCCTAGTGTACCTGTCTGCTTGTGACACCCTAGTGTACCTGTCTGCTTGTGACACCCCTAGTGTAACTGTCTGCTTGTGGCACCCTAGTTGGTGTCTCACCCTAGTGTAACTGTCTGCTTGTGACACCCTAGTGTACCTGTCTGCTTGTGACACCCTAGTGTACCTGTCTGCTTGTGACACCCTAGTGTAACTGTCTGCTTGTGACACCCTAGTGTACCTGTCTGCTTGTGACACCCCTAGTGTACCTGTCTGCTTGTGACACCCTAGTGTAACTGTCTGCTTGTGGCACCCTAGTGTACCTGTCTGCTTGTGACACCCCTAGTGTACCTGTCTGCTTGTGACACCCCTAGTGTACCTGTTTGCTTGTGACACCCTAGTGTACCTGTCTGCTTGTGACACCCTAGTGTACCTGTCTGCTTGTGACACCCTAGTGTACCTGTCTGCTTGTGACACCCCTAGTGTAACTGTCTGCTTGTGGCACCCTAGTTGGTGTCTCACCCTAGTGTAACTGTCTGCTTGTGACACCCTAGTTGGTGTCTCACCCTAGTGTAACTGTCTGCTTGTGACACTCTAGTGTAACTGTCTGCTTGTGACACCCTAGTTGGTGTCTCACCCTAGTGTAACTGTCTGCATTTACCTCTTTTTCTTCTGTCTTCTAGTTTTGGCATATTTAATGCCTCTAACCTCTCCTCGTAGCTCTTGCCCTTCAGTTCTGGGAGCCACTTAGTAGCATGTCTTTGCATCTTTTCCAGTTTGTTTATGTGCTTCTTAAGATATGGGCACCACACAATTGCTGCATATTCTAGCTTTGGCCTAACAAAAGTTGTGAACAATTTCTTTAGTATATCGCCATCCATGTATTTAAAAGCAATTCTGAAGTTAGAAAGCTTGGCATAGGCTCCTCGCATAACGTTCTTCATGTGGTCCTCGGGTGATAGTTTTCTATCTAGAACCACTCCTAGATCTCTTTCTTTATCAGAATTCTTTAAAGATTTCTCACATAATATATAGGTTGTATGGGGTCTATGTTCACCTATTCCACATTCCATAACATGGCATTTATTCACATTAAAATCCATTTGCCAAGTGTTGCTCCATTTACTTATTTTGTCCAGGTCATCTTGAAGGGCATGACAATCATCTAAATTTCTTATCCTTCCTATTATCTTAGCATCATCAGCAAACATGTTCATATAGTTCTGTATACCAACTGGTAGATGATTTATGTAGACAATAAACATCACTGGTGCAAGAACTGAACCCTGTGGTACTCCACTTGTGACATTTCTCCATTCCGATACATTGCCTCTGATTACTGCCCTCATTTTTCTATCAGTCAGAAAATTTTTCATCCATGTTAGAAGCTTACCTGTCACCCCTCCAATATTTTCCAGTTTCCAGATCAACCTCTTATGTGGAACTCTGTCAAAAGCCTTTTTTAGGTCCAGATAGATGCAGTCAACCCAACCATCTCTTTCCTGTAATATCTCTGTGGCTCGATCATAGAAACTGAGTAAATTCGATACACAGGATCTTCCAGATCGAAAACCATACTGTCTGTCTGATATTATATCATTTCTCTCCAGGTGTTCTACCCATTTAGTTTTGATTAGTTTTTCCAATACTTTCACTATTACACTTGTCAATAATACAGGTCTATAATTGAGGGGATCTTCCCTGCTGCCACTTTTGTAGACTGGAACTATGTTAGCCTGTTTCCACACGTCTGCTACGATTCCTGTACACAGGGATGCCTGAAAGATCTGGCAAAGTGGAATGCTGAGCTCAGATGTACATTCTCTCAGAACCCATGGTGAAACGCCATCTGGGCCAGCTGCTTTGTTCTTACCGAGCTCCTTTAGCATATTTTCTACTTCATCTCTAGACACCTCTATCCGCTCTATGTTGTTCTCTGGAATTCTTATTGTGTCTGGTTCTCTGAAGATTTCATTTTGTACAAACATACTTTGGAACTTTTCATTTAATGTTTCACACATTGCCTTTTCATTTTCCGTGAATCTGTTTCCCATTTTCAACCTCTGGATATTATCCTTTACCTGCAATTTGTTGTTTATGAATTTGTAGAACAGGCCCAGTTCTGTTTTACGTTTATCCGCTATCCCTTTTTCAAAATTTCTTTCTGCCTCTCTCCTTACTGCTGTATAGTTGTTTCTCGCATCTTTTGTATTGCTGGCATGTTTGGGGGTTTGGCCTCTTCCTATACTGATTCCATTTTTGTGTCTTTTGGTCTCTTGCCCTCTCACAATTTCTGTCGAACCAATCCTGTTTTGTGGCCCCTGCATCTCTGTTTTGGTATGAATGTTTGTGTGCCTTCCTCGTATATTTTTAAAAATTTGGCATACATTTCATTTATTTCCCTGCCTAGCAACAATTCTGTCCAATTACACTCATTAAAAAAATTTTGAAGTTCCCCATAGTTGCCTCTCCTTAAATCGAGTTTATTAACTGTTTCAATGTCCCCATTTTCTTCTAGATGATATCTTAAAGCATAATCAATGTCTAACAGGACGTGATTACTCTTTCCCAAGGGAGGAAGGTACTGGATGTCAAATATCTCTTTTTCTTTCCTGGTGAATACTAGATCCAGTGTGTGTGTGTGTGTGTGTGTGTGTGTGTGTGTGTGTGTGTGTGTGTGTGTGTGTGTGTGTGTGTAATTACCTAAGTGTAATTACCTAAGTGTAGTTACAGGATGAGAGCTACGCTCGTGGTGTCCCGTCTTCCCAGCACTCTTTGTCATATAACGCTTTGAAACTACTGACGGTCTTGGCCTCCACCACCTTCTCACTTAACTTGTTCCAACCGTCTACCACTCTATTTGCGAAGGTGAATTTTCTTATATTTCTTCGGCATCTGTGTTTAGCTAGTTTAAATCTATGACCTCTTGTTCTTGAAGTTCCAGGTCTCAGGAAGTCTTCCCTGTCGATTTTATCAATTCCTGTTACTATTTTGTACGTAGTAATCATATCACCTCTTTTTCTTCTGTCTTCTAGTTTTGGCATATTTAATGCTTCTAGCCTCTCCTCGTAGCTCTTGCCCTTCAGTTCTGGGAGCCACTTAGTAGCATGTCTTTGCACCTTTTCCAGTTTGTTGATGTGCTTCTTAAGATATGGGCACCACACAACAGCTGCATATTCTAGCTTTGGCCTAACAAAAGTCATGAACAATTTCTTTAGTATATCGCCATCCATGTATTTAAATGCAATTCTGAAGTTAGAAAGCATAGCATAGGCTCCTCGCACAATATTCTTTATGTGGTCCTCAGGTGATAGTTTTCTATCTAGAACCACTCCTAGATCTCTTTCTTTATCAAAATTCTTTAAAGATTTCTCACATAATATATAGGTTGTGTGGGGTCTATGTTCTCCTATTCCACATTCCATAACATGGCATTTATTCACATTAAAATCCATTTGCCAAGTGGTGCTCCATATACTTATTTTGTCCAGGTCTTCTTGAAGGGCATGACAGTCATCTAAATTTCTTATCCTTCCTATTATCTTAGCATCATCAGCAAACATGTTCATATAATTCTGTATACCAACTGGTAGATCGTTTATGTAGACAATAAACATCACTGGTGCAAGAACTGAACCCTGTGGTACTCCACTTGTGACATTTCTCCATTCCGATACATTGCCTCTGATTACTGCCCTCATTTTTCTATCAGTCAGAAAATTTATCATCCATGTTAGAAGCTTACCTGTCACCCCTCCAATATTTTCCAGTTTCCAGAACAACCTCTTATGTGGAACTCTGTCGAAAGCCTTTTTTAGGTCCAGATAGATGCAGTCAACCCAACCATCTCTTTCCTGTAATATCTCTGTGGCTCGATCATAGAAACTGAGTAAATTCGATACACAGGATCTTCCAGATCGAAAACCATACTGTCTGTCTGATATTATATAATTTCTCTCCAGGTGTTCTACCCATTTAGTTTTGATTAGCTTTTCCAATACTTTCGCTATTACACTTGTCAACGATACAGGTCTATAATTGAGTGGGTCTTCCCTGCTGCCACTTTTGTAGATTGGAACTATGTTAGCCTGTTTCCACACGTCTGCTACGATTCCTGTACACAGGGATGCCTGAAAGATCAGGTGAAGTGGAATGCTGAGCTCAGATGCACATTCTCTCAGAACCCATGGTGAAACGCCATCTGGGCCAGCTGCTTTGTTCTTCCCGAGCTCCTTTAGCATATTTTCCACTTCATCTCTAGACACCTCTATCCGCTCTATGTTGTTCTCTAGAATTCTTATTGTGTCTGGTTCTCTGAAGATTTCATTTTGTACAAACACACTTTGGAACTTTTCATTTAATGTTTCACACATTTCCTTTTCATTTTCTGTGAATCTGTTTCCCATTTTCAACCTCTGGATATTATCCTTTACCTGCAATTTGTTGTTTATGAATTTGTTGAATAGGCCCGGTTCTGTTTTACATTTATCTGCTATCCCTTTTTCAAAATTTCTTTCTGCCTCTCTCCTTACTGCTGTATAGTTGTTTCTCGCATCTTTGTATCGCTGGTATGTTTGGGGGTTTGGCCTCTTCCTATACTGATTCCATTTTTGTGTCTTTTGGTCTCTTGCCCTCTCACAATTTCTGTCGAACCAATCCTGTTTTCTGGCCCTGCATCTCTGTTTTGGTATGAATGTTTGTGTGCCTTCCTCGTATAGTTTTAAAAATTTGGCCTACATTTCATTTACTTCCCTGCCTAGCAACAATTCTGTCCAATTACACTCATTAAAAAAATTTCGAAGTTCCCCATAGTTGCCTCTCCTTAAATCGAGTTTATCAACTGTTTCAATGTCCCCATTTTCTTCTAGATGATATCTTAAAGCATATTTAATGTCTAACAGGACGTGATCACTCTTTCCCAAGGGAGAAAGGTACTGGATGTCAAAAATCTCTTCTTCTTTCCTGGTGAATACTAGATCCAGTACTGACGGTATATCTCCTTCCCTCATTCTTGTGGCTTGCTTTATGTGTTGATACAAGAATGTCTCCAGAATGAGGTTCACAAATCTGCATGTCCAAAAGTCCTCCGTTCTTGCTTCATAGGCCTCCCAGTCTATTGTTCTAAAGTTGAAGTCCCACAGTATCAACAGCCGTGATTTAGCTTTATCTGCTTGTACAATAATGTCTCTCATGACCATTATGAGGCCCTCTCGTTTGTCATCCAGTTCTTCCTTTGTCCATGTGTTGCTTGCTGGTGGGCTGTAGGTATTTACAATTATCAGCTTATCATCCTGATTCCAGACCTGCAATGCCATTATGTCAATATCTCGAGGGTTTTCAAATATTAACTCTTTTACCTTCAGGTGTTTTTTCACCAGTACAGCCACTCCTCCTCCCTTCCTAGTTTTCCTGTCACGTCTCCAAACTGAGTAGCCTCTTGGGAATATGACTTCATTTATTATATTTCCTTCAAGTTTCGTCTCTGATAATGCAACAATATCTGGGACCCTAAGCTGGATTATATCTTGCAACTCCAAAGTTTTTGACCTCACTCCATCTATGTTGGTATATACAATTTTCAGGAACATGTTCCCTTTTCCTTTGCTCTTTACTCCCCCTTCCACTACTGATCTTGTTGCTTTGTTTTTATGTACCATTTCACAAGCTTTCCAGTCCCTGTCACTTTGTAAAAAAAAGAATTTCTGTCTTCTTCATTTCTATCCCCATTTAGACGTTTTGCCTCAATTAGGTTCATTTTCAGCTTTTCTCTGTCTTCCTTGGAGAGGTCTTGTCTTATTGACCATAATTTGCCAACCTCATCACTCTGCAGTTTCCTGGCATTTCTTAGCACTTCCATCATGTTTTTCACTCCATTAAACGTCACCCTTAAGGGGCGGTTCTTTTCTTTCTCATATTTTCCTATTCTTCTAAAATCACTGACATTTTCCTTTGAGCCTTCTCCTAAACCTACTATTTTCTCTATGATTTTCATCATCTTCTGTGTGTGTGTGTGTGTGTGTGTGTGTGTATATATATATACTGTATATATATATATATATATATATATATATATATATATATATATATATATATATATATATACTGTATATATATATATATATATATATATATATATATATATATATATATATATATATATATATATATATATATATATATATATATATATATATATATATATATATATATATATATATATTATTGTATATTATTAAAGTACGTGTTTTTTTTACAGTCTGAACTGTCGGTTTCTGTTAGCATGGGAGCAAGAACATACAAGAGGTACACAACCCAGTTTAAGTTAAGAGTCATCAGCTACGCAGCAAAAACAAATAATTGTGTTGCGGCAAGAAAGTATGGAACATCAGAGAAGGCCGTCAGAGACTGGAAAAAAATTTCAGCGCAGCTCAAGGAAATTAATAGGAATGACAAAGGAAAAGTGCCAACAAATTGGCCAGAACTGGAGGAGCATGTTGCAGACTGGGTTAACGAACGTCTCCAGAATGGCCACGGCATTTATCGTGCCTCCATCCGACCCTATGCTCTCAAAATGGCAAGGAAATGTGGCATCACAGATTTTATGGCCACTACTGAATGGTACTCAAGATTCATGAAGAGACACAACTTTGTAGGTACTGTATTGTACATTTCTTTGTATTTGTTACTACATATACACATGTCACTACATATTCTAGGGCCCGACGGCTGAGTGAATAGTGCTTGGGAGTCGTAGACCTAAGGGTTGGGTTCGATCCCTGGGGGAGGTGGAAACAAATGGGTAGAGCTTCTTTCACCCTGATACACCTGTTCACCTAGCAGTAAGTAGGTACCTCGGAGTTAGACAGCTGCTACGGGCCGCTTCCTGGGGATGAGTGTGCGTGAAATTTTGGATTAACCCTTAACATGCTAGGGGTATAATATCCTTTCTTCCCCACAGGCGCATGTAATTTTGAAAAAAAAAAATAATTTTTTCTTCCTAACCTGTTACTTTGTGTTCACTGATCACGGGAAAAATAATAAAAAAATCGTAAGTGGCATATATTGCCCGCTATAGGGCGGGGAAGTCTGGCAAAAAATAGGCGCTGACTCAGCGTGCGTCCCAGGCGGTCTGTTGATCGCCAGCTGTCAGGCCGGAGTTGCCACAAAGAGATAATTACCTAATTATTTCAATGTCTCTGATTTTTCATAGTTTTTTGCTGTAATATTATTGAATAGTGTGTAGTTTGATATATTTATATAATAAAATGAGTGAATCATTGCTGTACTCAAAAATATGGTGTGCATATTGTTTATTCAATTATGTTCATCAATCAGTGAACAAATACTTTGTCGGTTATTACACTATATACACAGGTTATATATAAGTATCTGCATGTTTTGTTCACCATAACGAACCACTAAGTAGCTATTATGAGTCAAAAAGTAACGAGGAGTGACCGCCGTGTACCAGCCAGCCACTCACGCCCTCCCTCAAGTCATCCGACTCACCCACATTCTCCTCCCACAATACTGTTTTTGCTTTTATTCACTATATACAGACGCTATATATAAGTATCTACATTCATGTTCACCATAACGAGCCATTAAGTTGGTATGCTGAGTGGCAGTGGCAGTGACAGGCAGTGGCAGCCCACCACTGGCTGCCACTCCCTCCCTCCCTTCCTCACCTCACCTGACTTGCCACCAATCTCCACCCACCATACTGTTTTTGCTTTTATATACAGATGTTATATATAAGTATTTACATGTTTTGTTCACCATAACTGTACATCTAAGCTTGTGTGGTGAGTAAAGGCACAAAGACGTAGGACCTCACACAGTCAACTGATGGCTGCCGCCCTCAAGGCCAGACGCACTAATATTTCTCCTCCAACAATACTGTTTGTGATGTTATTACGCTATATACACACATTATATATAAATATCTACTTGTTTTATTCACCATACTTGTACAAGTAAACTGGTATGGTGGCCAAAAACCATTGTGGTAACCAGTAAACAACACCGTCGTCTGCACGGTGGCGTCGTGCAGACAACGCCACCACCCTCACCAAAATGGCGGCTCCCAACCTTCTCCTCTTGCTGTTTATACCCTCTATACACAAGTTATATATAGGTATCTACATTTGTGTTCACCATAGCGAACCACTAAGCTGGTATGCTGAGTGCAGTCAATAAAAGGTGGCCACACACAGTCAGAAGACATCGCCACCACCCTCCCTCCCACAGCATTACTCCTCCCTCCATGGCGCACAGCGCTAAATATCACCACAGTCCTGCTATTATCAGAACCCTGGTCAGTTTTATCAGTCAGGGGTCTTCTGTAATAATATCATCGCTACATAATAGCATGAACAAGTATATATTGGCATTTTCAGGCGATGCTGTGGTCACAAGCTGAACAGCAGTGCTGTGAGCTCATGCTGCGTGCATCAGGCTTGGTAGCTCACTCAATACTGAGGCCAATAACACTCGGGAGTTTGGCCCACGATTTTTTTTTTTAAATGGCGTCTTTTTACAAGAGCCCTGATGAAGGTGTCGTGAACCCCGTGTATCCACGGGTCGTTTAAATCTTGTGTAGTACTCCAACACGTCATATGACGTGATGCGCAGTTGACTGGAACAACTTCCAATACGTCATATGACGTGATGCGCACTTTAAGGGTTAACAACATATGTTTACAAGAAAGACTGCTACCAAAATATACTAATATTCTATATTATATATATATATATATATATATATATATATATATATATATATATATATATATATATATATATATATATATATATATATATATATATGTATAGTATATACATATATACATACAGTATATGTATATTTGTAGGCAAAATGTATGCTATATGCACTTATAAGATTTAGGTTTTATAGTTTACATAATATATATATTGACTCATGTAAGGTCCCTTTAATATCCAAACTTGTATATGGCATATGTTGAACCTACATGTGAAACAGTCAGTCACCCCATAATCTATTTCAGACATCAACATCCCTATTTTCAAACCGGTATTTACTTAGGTCTTTTCTGACTCTAAACTTGGCCATTTTGTTCCACCTGTTGCTTCAGGCACTTGTGTGTTGATGTATTTAGCACTTTATTAATATTACCCTTTCGTCCATTTATATACTGAACTTCAGTCATATTCTCCTTTACCATTTTCTGTTCTCAATAATGTAAGGTCAATTTATTAGAAAGGTTTTGAATCCCCACATTCACTTTTCTCACCTTTGTACCTTTTCTAAAGACTTTGTTCATCCTTTAGTATGGTGCCCAAAGTTGAATTCTTTTATCTAAATGGAGCATAACAAACAAAAGATAAGACTGAAGAATAATATTAGTCACCTTATTTACCAGCAAATTTTGTTTATTTCTTATAAAGTATCCTGTTTGCCTTATTGTGAACATTTATACATTGATTAGACATCCAACTCACAAATCTGAAATTATATGAATTGGCGATGTTTTGGTCAGTTCTGGACCAGTCCCTTACACGATTTGATTATGGTCCAGGACGGACCAGAATGTCGTCAAATCTTGTACTGTATTTTCAGATTTACAGGTTGGGTGTCTAATTTTCAGCCACGTTATTGTAACTCATTGTCAGTGTACATTGATTTTTTGGCTTTAGATCCTTTGTAATAACAGTGCATTATTTATGATAACTTTTCCCTGTACAAACATTGAGCGAGATATTGTGACACTTTCTACACGGTTAACAAGTGTCGTCAAACTTGTGAATCTTCTGAAGGCATGAGCTGCCAGCTCGTTCATAAAAGAGCTAAAATGTCCAAAACGAGCTAAAATGTTCATGCATTTTTAGCAATGCTGCTCGTAATTTTTAACAAAAACTACCTATGTTCTTGTAAAATGCTTGACAATGTCCCCTCCTCTCATGAAACAATATATTTCGTATATTTTGTTATTAAATTGTTACATTTTAATTGTGTATTGTCTCTGTTTTTAATATTTAAAATGCATTGCAGAATTACATTTTGAACTTGTGTGCATTTATCATATTTAGTTTTCCTGAAATATACTGTATTTCGTAGTATATATTGTATATAGTATAGTATATATTGGCCACCTTTTGATTGCCATTTAGTTGGTAATATTGTTTGGTACAACAGTTTTTACAGATCGTATTAAATAATTACAAAGTATATGTTTTATGACGACTATTATATTGTAGGATTAAAACGCTCATATGGTGTGAGGAGGAAGTCTCCAGAGATGGGTGATTTTGAATCACCCGAGGTAAACGACACTCACTACAAACGGAATACTGAGGCGACGAGAAACTTCCTAAAAAGAATGAAACGGAGACATTGTGTGGTGAGTGGGACTCCAGTGCTGTTATTGCCAGCAGTTAGCATGCAGTGTGTGTTCTAGGTCCTAACATTTGTGGCAAAGATACAGCATACAGTATTGTCTTTTATCAATTTTACTGTAATGACTGGTTTCGGGGGCTTAGTGAAGCCTATTTAGGCTCCTTTAGCAGAATAGTCTGCATCTTCAGCTCACAACCAAGGGACATGAGGACAAAAACAGTTGGACACATTTCTTTTTATCTAATGCCTATGTTCACCAAACGGTAAAATAGGCAGCCAGAAGTTGAATAATTGTTGTGGGCTGCATCTGATAAGGATTAGGGATGGGATTGGGGTAAGAAAAGGTGACCAACCACTTGGACGGTCGGGGACTGAACACTGACCTGCATGAAGCGAGACCATCGCTCTACTGTCCAGCCCAAGTGCATCCTGGGAAAGATAAGTAGATGGCCTAAACATGCTCTAATAAGCATGCTTAGGCCATAATAAGCAACTCGCCTGGCATTCCGCGAGCGCTTTGTCATGGGTTTGTATCCTGGCCGGGGAGGACTTACTGGGCGCAAATCCTTAACTGTAGCCTCTGTTTAACTCAACAGTAAAATGGGTACCTGGTTGTAAAAACGATTCTTCGCGGCGGGGATCGTATTCCAGGGACCTGCCCGAAACACTACGCGTACTAGTGGCTGCACAAGAATGTAACAACTCTTGTATATATCCCCCCCCCCCCAAAAAAAAAAGCCTAAATACAAGAAGCATATATTGTTTATATATATGCTTATATATATGCTATATATTGTGATAGCCTTAAAATGTGGCTATCATCGCGTGGTGACATACCAGATGATAGTTCACAAGTACCCTTGTGAGAATATGTTTGTTTACAGCATTTCAAATATTGATGTGTGTGTAAGGTAATGTGTAGTTAGTAACAGTTGATTGACAGTTAAGAGGCGGGCTCAAAGAGCAGAGCTCAACCTCCACAAGCACAACTAGATGAATACTGGACCTATCTTGAGGTTATCTTGAGATGATTTCGGAGCTTAGCGTCCCCGTGGCCCGGTCCTCAACCAGGCCTCCTTTATGTTACACACCCTCCAGGAAGCAGCCCGTAGCAGCTGTCTAACTCCCAGGTACCTATTTACTGCTAGGTTGAGAGCATCAGGGTGAAAGAAACTCTGCCCATTTGTTTCTGCCTCCACCGGGAATCGAACCCAGAACCTCAGGACTACGAATCACAAGCCCCGTCCACTCAGCTGGGGTTCAGGCACCTAAGCTGTAGTTTAAGCATTAATAATGAGACATGGTAAAGTTCTTAGTTTCATCTATCACTTTTTCTTTGTCACTAGTTTCATTATGAGAAATAGGTACATATTGTAATCGTTTTTATGAAGATATTGGACTATATACTGTATAGCAAGTCATACTCTTGGTCTGCACTGGTACATAAATGTTCTGATGCTTCTCAGGGCTCCACTCAGCACCACTTAAAATGTTTTAAGTCTGGTTTTGGTCTACTCCTCCTCTGGTTCTCTGTGGTGTTTAGTCAAATAAAAATACAGTACAACCTCGATTCAACGTACTATATGAGACCAACGGCAGTGCGTTCGAGCACTGGATGCGTTGCAAGAGGTGACCGTCAGGAGACGTTTGCGTCAGTGTCTCTTTTTTTTCTTGTACACAATAAAAATACATTATCGTATTATATACTGTACCTATATATTATTACCCTACTAAAAAATACTGTGTTACATTTGTTATTTTAAAGGGAGCCGGTGGCTGAGTGGACAAAACACTGGGCACATGATTCTGTGATCCCGGGTTCGATCCCGGGCACCAGCGAGAAACAATGGGCAGAGTTTCTTTCACCCTGTTGCTCCTGTTATCTAGCAGTAAATAGGTATCTGGGAGTTAGTCAGCTGTCACGAGCTGCTTTCTGGGGGTGGAGGCCTGGTCAAGGACCGGGCCGCGGGGACACTAAGCCCCGAAATCATCTCAAGATAACCTTAAGATATACCTTATTGTTGGAGTTATGTCCATCTTAAAGTCTCATGGCGTTGTGAATGCTGTACAGTAAATACGTACAGTACTGAAGTGTATTATACCGTTAACACTGTGTTGATTAAGTAGTTCTGCTGTATGTTGAGTACTGCAATACAGGTCTATGAAAACTATTGTACACTAAAATTACTGCAACTTTAATTTTAACACTGTGTACACACTTAAATTTAACATGTTCTAACTGTTCATGCCACACACGAAATTTTTAGATGTTTGCATCAGCTTTGCTGGTGCTCGCTGCTGCTGTGGGTTCAGCTGCTTCTGAGCTGGTGCTGGCTGCTGTTGTACCAGTGCTGGGTACAACTGTGCTCGTGCTGGGTACGGCTGTTGTACCAGTGCTGGGTACAACTGTGCTCGTGCTGGGTACGGCTGTTCTCGTGCTGGGTACAGCTGTTCTCGTGCTGGGTACGGCTGTTCTCGTGCTGGGTACGGCTGTTCTCGTGCTGGGTACAACTGTGCTCGTGCTGGGTACGGCTGTGCTCATGCTGGGTACAACTGTGCTTGTGCTGGGTACGGCTGTTCTCGTGCTGGGTACGGTTGTTCTCGTGCTGGGTACGGCTGTTCTCTTGCTGGGTACGGCTGTTCTCGTGCTGGGTACGGCTGTTCTCGTGCTGGGTACGGCTGTTCTCGTGCTGGGTACGGCTGTTCTCGTGCTGGGTACGGCTGTTCTCGTGCTGGGTACGGCTGTTCTCGTGCTGGGTACGGCTGTTCTCGTGCTGGGTACGGCTGTTCTCGTGCTGGGTACGGCTGTTCTCGTGCTGGGTACGGCTGTTCTCGTGCTGGGTACGGCTGTTCTCGTGCTGGGTATGGCTGTTCTCGTGCTGGGTACGGCTGTTCTCGTGCTGGGTACGGCTGTTCTCGTGCTGGGTACGGCTGTTCTCGTGCTGGGTATGGCTGTTCTCGTGCTGGGTACGGCTGTTCTCGTGCTGGGTACTGCTGTTCTCGTGCTGGGTCCGGCTGTTCTCGTGCTGGGTACGGCTGTTCTCGTGTTGGGTACGGCTGTTCTCGTGCTGGGTACGGCTGTTCTCGTGCTGGGTACGGCTGTTCTCGTGTTGGGTACGGCTGTTCTCGTGCTGGGTACGGCTGTGCTTGTGCTAGTTGATTTTCTGTTACAAGGTCGTGCAAAATATTGCTTCATTTTTGGCATTAATAAGACACTATTAGTAAGCCCCCGAGACATTTTGTTGTATAATAATGCAGCTGTAGTCAGAAAATGGTAAATTCCACGATTATTCTTCCACCGGCGGTTAAATACTGTACGTCAATCACAGACAAAGCTGAGGGCACTGGGTGCATACTGTACGAACGCAGACTAGGTCTATATGTACACCCTACAGTAGGCTGGTGTTTAAGCCAGATCCAGTAACATAAATTTCTCTCAAATATTCAATTTACATCAAATTATATATTTTTGGGTTATATATTTAGTTTAGCAACATTATTACGATAATAAGAGCTATAAAAAATACTTATTTTAGAACTGATTTAATTATTTTATTATTTCAAAGCCGTAGGTCACTGAACTGTGGCGACAAAATCGAACAAAACAAGCATGGTGTTGTGTGCACATGGATTTGTCCCGTCCACCAGTGCTGGAGTTGTGCCGCCAATAACATGAATAATTCCTCAAATTGCAGATATGTATCATATTTACAGTATAGTTTTGGTTTTATTTAGTTTAGTTTAATTAGGATAATAAAGAGTTATTAAAACACCAGTTTTAGAAATGATTTATTAATGTGAAACGTTCAAAGTCATGGGTCACTGAACTATGACAACACAGACGAAAGTGAGTGAAACCTCTCTGTAAAGCAAGGTTTCCTGTACAGTATTCCCTTATCTGTTCACCCTCACTCGTCTTGTTTCATCACAGAAAATGTATATAAAAAGATTTCAACACATTAGCTAGCTATTCACGCTTCAGCCTTTAAATTAATTTACAAAGATATGTGTGCCACAAATCAGTGAACGAAAATCATTGAAACTCGGTCGTTCCCTTGTGTGGACCACTCTGGCTGGTGTTTGGTTAATATGCGTCACTTGTGTGGACCATTTTGGTTGGTGTTTGGTTCATATGGTTCACTTGTTGTGTGATCCACTTGTGTGATCCAACTTGTCTTATGAAAGAATTATTAATTGTAATCTGTGATAGAATGAGACAGTTTTCCACCACTCTGTGAACTCTGTCCCAACATCATAAGCTTGTGGACCACTTTTGGTCCACTTGTGTGGCCCACATGTGTGGTCCACTTGTGTGATCGAACTTGTCATATGAGCGAATTATTAATTGTTATCTGTGATAAAATGGGAAATTTTTCCACCAGTCTGTGAACTGTCACGACATCGTAAGCAAATCCGAATATGACCCGCTTCGGCGAACCATTGTTCGTCGAATCGAGTGAGGAAATCCGGCCTGAAAAGTGTGCGAACTAGCCGGAGATTCGTTAAATCGAGGTTGTACTGTACTCTTTGTCTTCTCTCTGTCTTCCGGTGTGTGTCCTTGTGTGCTTTTCTGTGGGTTCCATGACCTTTGGATGCCTTCCCTGCATTTGGGATGGGTGTCCTCTTATTTTTTGGTCTAGCAGTATCTTGTCGTCTTCTGCTGGGCTTGTCCTTTTTAGGTTTCTTCCGACCAGATGGTTTGGTAGTGACATAATTCCTCCCAGGCCAAATTACTGACCCCGCCCAGGATGCAACCCCACAACAAGCTGACTAACTCCTGGGTACCCACTCACTGCTAGGTGAACAGACAGATTATTTGATAGGAAATGTGCCCAACCATTTCTGTCCCGCCTGGGATTCGAACCCGGAATTCTCGATTGTGTGTCGAGAACGAACCTGACTCTACTACTGGGACATTTCCTGCCTGTGGCCATTATTGGTTTTGCTTGACTTGCACCTTGTCTGCCTCATTCCTCTGTGGTGTGCCGTTCTTTGTTCACCTATGGGAAATGTTCGCACCCTTCTTGGCCGTTTTGTCGTCTGCTCTTCCCTGGACTTGGGTTTTTGGCTGTTCAACAGGATGTTGGCCATCTGCTATTTATAGGCGGTCTCCACAGTCCTGATATGTTTGTGTGGCACTTGGGCAGGTAACATTGTGCTGATGCTGATTTTGCCAGAGCCTTGGTCTTCTGTCTACTTCTTCCATGCATAGGCCATTTTCCATCTTTATTCTCCCCGATATTGTGTTTCATATCAGCAAAATTGTTTTCCTCTCTGAGATGCTGCTGTGAATAATCTCCAGGTAGCTACTGAGGAAGGCCAGCTTGGAAATAAAACTTTAAATGTAATGAAATACCCCTCAGCAGCGTTCCCATTCCTGCTCGTGTTACCTGTTTCCCATGTGATTTTAAGTTATACACGTGACTGTTGATACACCTGGCTGTATGGACAGACATCTAATAAACAGGCATTGTTTACACATTGTCAACTATTGTTTGCCTTGTTTTCTTAGTATCATTTATTATTAAGGGTTTGTTTTGTTTTGCCAGTGACTTCCAGGCATTTTCCTCAGTTTTGGGACAATCTTTGATTCCTGTGTTCTCTTCGCCCTATTTGAGAGATTCAGATTCTGGTCGCAGTTTTTGGGAGGCCTTTTTAAGTCTCCAGGACCTGGTATGATTGGTAGGACTCACAATACTAGTGCCTTAGTCACTAAAAACTACAGTGAGAGAGAGAGTACCCAAAAAGGATCATTTCATTATAGTTGATACTATTTATAGTCAGGATGTCAAAATGGTTATGTAAAATTGCTGTGAAAATTGTATGCTTATTCCATACATGAGTTTAATACATCCATTATATTTTCAGCCTTGTAGGCCTCTATCTTTGGCAAGAAGCCATCAGCATATAAGGAAGTCAAAATACTCCATTGAGTTTAAGCTAAAGATATGTGATCTTTTGAGGAAGGGAAAGACCCAGATGTCTATAGCCCGCCAGTTCCAGATGAACCAGCCCACCATTTGTAGCATTAAAAAACAAGAACATATTTTAAGAAAAGCTTTGGTCGAGGGCAGGTTTGCCAGCAGTGAAACACCGCTCAAAGTTACACGCCTCTGGGAGATTGAGAATGCCCTTTACTTCTGGATACAAGATCAATACACAAAAGGCATTCCTGTCGATGATGCCATGATTTGCAAGAGGGCTACTGAGATTCACGCAGACATGGAACAAGGGGATGGCAACTGTAACACATTCATAGCTTCAGATGCTTGGCTGAGGCGCTTTAGGAAGCGGCACAACCTGCGACTAAAGAAGAGTACGGATCCTACTGCCGCATCGTCTCGCTGTGCCACTGACCACACTGATGCATTGTCTTTTCGTGCCAAGTTTGCAGCTATCATCAATGAGGAAGGATATTCTCCAGAGCAGGTTTGTGAAAAATTAACACTCTGTTCAACAAAATACATTTTATATTGCCAATAAACATATAAATTAAATGTTGAAAGATATGTTTTCTCTTATTTCTTCTAATAAAAATAAGAGTAAACCATATATATTCTATTACACTTGTAATAAGAAAAAAGGGCTCTTTCCATATACTGTACACCATGAAAAATGTTTAAGGTAATTAAAAAGTGGAATCAACACATAAAGGTATATACAAAATAGCTCAAACTGGTCACATTATTTCCAAATCGTAAATCAAATTTCCATTATCTTAAATGAAATTAGAATAGCATCATAAATACATAAGCATACTTGTCAGGGAATTTCATGCACTTCAGTTAAACATGAATTCTGCCCCCCCCCCCCCCCCATCTCTCCCCCACCCGTTTTTTTCATCAATTCATGTTATTTAATCTTTTTATTTTTATACATTTCTAATTTGAAAAAAGAATGCTTTTTCATATATACAGGGGTACCTCAGTTTAAGAGTTTAATCCGTTCCTGGAGACAGCTCGTAACCCGAAAACTCGTAAACCGAAGCTAATTTCCCCATAAGAAATAATGGGAAATGAATTAATCCGTTCCCGACTACCCAAAAACCTCACTTCAAACTAAATTTTATACCTAATTCATGTAAATCTACACTACAAAAGTATGTTCAAGTTATTACTTACCCTTGCTGATGACTGCTGTTGGTGTATGGAAGATGGTGAGGAGGAGAGGTGTTACTGTTTGGAAGGGGAGTCTTGTTCCATTATAACATCAGGCAGTGAGGACTTCACTGGTGTGCACACTCTGGCACATTTTGCCTGCATAACACTAGGACCTGCTTGTGGCTCACTGCTTGCTTGTCTTACTAACAATCTGTCTAAAGACACTTGATTTTCCCTACATTTTAACACTTGTCTGTAGTAAGACAGCACATTGTCATTTAAAAGGTCAATGCAATGGCCTGCTACAGCTTTATATGGGTGAGTTTTTTCCACAAAACTTTGCAGTTCTTCCCATACTTCACACATTTTCTTAATGAGGAAGGGACATCCTCTACTCACAACTATTTTCTTAGATTGAATCTTACCACTGGCTTTCTTGGGACCCATTGTGAGATATATAATAAGAACTTTTATGTTCAAATGGCCAAATATCCAACAAAACACTGTAAATCCTGGTGAAGAATTGAGGCGGGATAGTCACTGGGCGTGAGGCACTGGCAAACTCAGTGGCGATCGCCATGTCACCATGCACTAGTTGGCCCGTACGCGTATCAACACCCTCGTATCCTGAGACAACCCTCGTATCCCAATAAAAAATTTCCGAGCAAATCCTGCTCATAACCCGAAAAACTCGTAACCAGGGGCGATCATAAGCCGAGGTACCACTGTACCATTAATTAAGCTAGTACATAAAAACGTAAACAAGTCTTGAGTATGACAATGGATATAATTACTGTACATAAAAAAGAAAAGCTTTTACCTAGCTGATAAATCAACTCCACTATACTTATATGTCTCTTGTACACACTTCAATACATATAAAGTAATGTAGCGTATCTTAATCACATGTCAAAAATCAAAGAAATAGGTGTGAGGGTTGTATGAAGGAAGCCTACTGAAGACCAGAGCCCAGAACCTGGCCTACCTCACAGACATGCAGGGAGCAGGGAATTCTTTATGTTCTCCGACACATGCAGAAAGTAATTGAAGTAAAATAGGCAACTGCAAGGTTTACAGAGAAACAAGAAATGAAGGAGTAAACAACTTCACAAACAATTAAACCCCTCTAGTTGCCCCGGGGAATCCCTGGCCCACCCCACTTTGCTACCGGGTGCGTTCATTTGTGGTCCTGAGCTCCGGACTGAGGTGTGCTGGTGTAGGGAGCCGGCAGTTCCCAGTGGTGCTGCCACCTGGCTGTGGCCAGCTGTAACTAGAGGCCTTCACACTAAATATTCTATAGATTGCTTGCAGAATTATTTGCTGCTGCATTTCTTGTTTATTCATTATCTGGATTTATCTATGGTGTGGGGTGGTCGTAAATGTCTCCAGCTCCATGCACCTCTATGAATGGTGGGGCCAGGTTCTGGCTCTTGTCTCCAGTAGGCTATTTAGGGCTTCTTGCACTGATGTGACTAATGTGTGGAACTACCTCAATGCTAACTTCAGGAAGCCAATGAGGTCCAACCAGAAAGAGGGATTCAATGCTAATTTTTTAGTTGCTCATGGAAAAATTTTGTCTTTCAAAATATATTTTTAAAGTTATAATATCTCCACAACAGGTGTTCATGGTAGGTGAGACTGTCCATTTCTGGAAGCATCTTCCCGCCAAGACCTTCCTGATGGAGGAGGAAAAGGCTGCTTCAGGTTTCAAGGCCTCCAATGAGTATATGACTTTGTTGTTCTGCTCAAATGCAGCGGGGGACTTCAAGCTGCCTCCTCTGCTGGTGTATCGATCCCTTTGTCCCCACGAACTCGAGAACGTTTTCAGTCTACCTGTAGTATGGCGAGCTAACAGCAAGGCTTGGATGACATCGGCGATCTTTACTGATTGGTACCAGCATAACTTCATTCCTGCCGTGGACAAGTACCTGAAGTCGAGAAACCTGCCAAGTAAAGCCATCTTGTTTGTTCACAGTACTCCCAGTCACCCACAAACCCTGAAGGGCACTGTTGATGGTGACGGATACCGCCTCGAGTTCTTCCCGCCTGACACCAGCTCTCTGCTGCAGTCGCTCGACCAAGGAGTGATAGCACAGATCAAGAGACTGTACACCAAGCAGATACTATGGGATATGCTTTTGTATGTTGAAGGCAAAGGTAATAGTAGAAAAGAAGTAGTTGAATTTTGGAAAAAATTTAGCATTAGAAGTGCTATCTCCATCATCACAGACTCCTGGGAGAAAATCACCTCCTCAAGTCTTAATGAAGCATGGGAGAACCTGTGGCCTGAAATTATGTCTCAGTTTCATGGTTTTCCTGACAAGCAGAAAGAGATACGCAGTATTGTGGAGATTGCTAACAGCATCCCTGGGGAAGGGTTTAGTGACCTGGTGGCTAAGGACATTGTGGAGCATCTGGAGAGTCACCGCAACATTATGACTCCAGAAAACGCCCTCGAGCTGACTGCTGGAGAAATTGAAGGAGAGGATGTAAATGCCGAAGCTGTTCTCCCATTGCAGGTGCCTTCAACGGCGATGAGGCAGATTGTAGAATATATGAACTCTGGTCTCAAAATTGCTAATGGTGACCCCAATTTTAAACGAGCTTATGAAGCTATCCATCACATTAGGAAAGCCTTTGAAGTTTATGGCAAGACAATCAATCGATGCTCGTTCTCAAGAAAAGTAACTTAAGATTTTGATATGCCAGATTTTTTTATATTCTCTAAATAAAACTTGATTTTACAATACAATATATATATTTTTATTTTCCATAAAATCCATCTTGTGAACAAATCCTATGATCTTTGCAAAATTTTATATGGTTTGATCTTACTACTGGGCTCAAGAAATATACATTATAAGTTGTTTAAATAAATTGTAATTAATAAGTAGTGTTTATATCGGGTAATTATGATGTGGAAAATGATCTGGTTTGGCCATATTGAGAGGTGCTGTATACGTGAAGACGTAAAGCAACATAGATCTCCGAATGAGCTTCCACCAACTTTCTATCTGGAGGTTGAGGTGCCATGCAAGGAATGATGTATAGTTACATACCCAGTAACTGGCCAGATCCAAGGGTGAGACTGCGTAGCCACCCAACCATTTAGAGACCAGACACCATGTGGCCCCAAGAATGCTTGTTGAGGCAAACCCCCCCCCCCCCCCCTCCCTCCTACCTGAGGTCGAGGCTGTGGATCAGATTGTTGCTGATGGCAGCAGCTAGCTTATTGTGCATCCCATACTGAGCAGTATTCCATAAACGTTTTGCGAGCAGTAGTTTATTGTGCACCCCCACTCTTCAAACAATTGTTTGTCGTAATCCTTACATTCGAACCTACAGGGGACCACGGCCAGAACCTGACCCCCTTCAGAGAGGCACGAGGAGCAATGGCCCATAGAAATGCACATGTGATTTTGGAGCATTCTATATCTGCCATCGACTGGGACAGGCACCCAGAAAGGTAAACGCCTCAAAACAAACCCCTATTCAGGTGAAACCAACAAAAATAATGAAACAAGTGGACAGAACTCCCCCAATTGAAAACGAGCCAACGAGCATGACGTCACACGAGCCACGCCGCATGTCTGCGCAGCTCCCCTCTCCCCGGAGTTGGAAGGGGGAGCCCCAGACCCCACCGCCGGCGATCCAAACCTCAGTTCCTCGGTTGATGGGATAAGGCTTGGTCGTTGTGGCTCCAGCTCCAGATTCTTCTTGTGCTGTGCCTGGAGTCAGCACTTCTCTTAGGTGGTGTGCGAGCTGGGAGTATTATTCCTAGGTACTCGGACTGCATGCGCTTAGGGGCTCCCTTCCCTGAGTGCCCTGTAAGTACTGCCCTAGGGGCTTGGGGTTACCTTCCTCAAGTTACCTTGGGTCTACCTCTGTTGGTCTTTCGCTGCTCGGCGATTGACCGCCCCGAGTGTTTTGGGAGATTTCGTCTCTAGTTTGCCGTGGGGTAAGTGGTAGTTTTCTGGGGGGGAGCCCTGTAGACTCCAGGGAGCCTCTAGCACTCGCCCAGAAAATGGCGTTCCATTACATTCAACGCTGGTTTTTTGCACTGGTATTGCGTGGAGTACTGCGTAGCTAGTTTTCACCTATAACAGCAACCAGCTCTGATCCCTCTGGTACACTGTCCTCTTGCAAGGTTTTTCTTTTCTTTCTGTTTTTGCCTGGTGGGGGGGGGGGGTGCCTGCCTTGGTGTTCTTCCCTTTTTTATTAGGGGTGTTTGTGTTTGGTGGTACCCCCTGTTTCACCCTCATGAGTAGACACATCCCGAGGGTTCAGTTTTAGCAGTGTTGATTGGTAGCTTGGGCGCCGGTTAGCAGTACCCTGCCTGGGATAACCCTTAGCAGACCCAATTGAGGGGCCCTGGGAAACCCCTGCGGGGGTGCCAATAGATGTGACCACTGAGTCTCCTCTCGCTTTTTGTGAGTTTGAGGGTTGCTCTGTCCTCTTGTCTCAGGGTAACGCACATTGTTTTTGCCTCCGTCATGCTGCCTGTTGGGTCGGTGACACATTCGACCTGGAGTCCAGCGAGCTTTGTTGCTTATACGTGACTCAGTTTACCCAATCTGATGATGATAATATTCGGGTGCAGGCAGCTCGCCCGTTGCAAGATAGGTTTGGGTTGCTGCAGCGCACTAGGTTGGTTGCTTCCCTGGATGCCCCGAGGCTGCCCGGTTTTGTTTATAGAGACCCGGACTTGGGGGTGTTGGTCGCTTCGGCCTTGGTTCTGTCTGCACCCCCTTGTTCTTTCCCTGCTATGGTTTACTCGGTTTCCCCTTCCCCTGCTTCCGGCTCCTAAGCATCTGAGGGCTTCGGGGTCGGGCCAGGGGTTTAGAGGTTTCTGAGACTCGGGCAGTTTCGGGGGTTACCCCTTCCGGGGTACCTGGTTGATGGGGTTCTGGGAGTTCTTCTACTCCCCAAGCCCGGCCCGAGGCCAGGCTCGACTTGTGAGAGTTTGGTCCACCAGGCTGTTGCTTGGAGCGGCCCGCAGGCCCACATACCCACCACAGCCCGGTTGGTCCGGCACTCCTTGGAGGAATAAATCTAGTTTCCTCTTGAAAATGTCCACGGTTGTTCCGGCAATATTTCTTATGCTTGCTGGGAGGACGTTGAACAACCGCGGACCTCTGATGTTTATACAGTGTTCTCTGATTGTGCCTATGGCACCTCTGCTCTTCACTGGTTCTAATCTACATTTTCTTCCATGTCGTTCACTCCAGTACGTTGTTATTTTACTGTGTAGATTTGGTACATGGCCCTCCAGTATCTTCCAGGTGTATATTATTTGATATCTCTCTCGTCTTCTTTCTAGTGGGGTTACGAGCTGGGAGTATTATTCCTAGGTACTTGGACTGCATGCGCTTAGGGGCTCCCTTCCCTGAGTGCCCTGTAAGTACTGCCCTAGGGGCAGTACTTACTACGTGGCTACGGAAGCATTCGAGTCAGTTCCTCCAGCCGTAGTAGCCGTCACAACTGCAAGAAAAATGACCGGTTGGATAACAAGAATTTTTCACACTAGCGATGCTATACCGATGATGATACTTTTCAAAACGCTTGTGCTCTCTAGAGTGGAGTACTGCTGCACAATGACAACCCCTTTCAAAGCTGGAGAAATTGCTGACCTGGAGAGCGAGCAGAGATCCTTTACTGTTAGAATCCACTCAGTAAAACATCTAAACTTCTGGGACCGACTAAAGAGCCTAAATCTGTACTCCCTTGAGCGCAGGCGGGAGAGGTACATAATAATTTACACGTGGAAAATATTAGAGGGGCTGGTCCCAAACCTGCACACAGAAATAACATCACATGAGACCAGAAGGCATGGCAGGATGTGCAGAATACCCCTGTTGAAAAGCAGAGGTGCAACAGGTACTCTGAGAGAGAACTCTATCAACATCAGAGGCCCAAGACTGTTCAACAAGCTTCCGCTACACATAAGGGGCATAACTGGCAATCCCCTCACAGTGTTCAAGAGAGAACTGGATAAGCACCTCCAAAGGGTACCTGATCAACCAGGCTGTGACTCATACGTCAGGCTGCGAGCAGCCGCGTCCAACAGCCTGGTTTATCAGTCCAGCAACCAGGAGGCCTGGTCGACGACTGGGCCGCGGGGACGCTAAGCCCCGGAAGCACCTCAAGGTAACCAAGGTAGCTTCGGGGTCTGACTAGTGGCCCCATCCTCTTCCTGCTGTTCCGGCTGCCCTGGCTTTTTCTTGTGAGGCTGGGGCTTTGGAGCATCCCCGGGGGCTGATGTGGAGGTTCTCGGGGTTGGGGAGGAGCTGACTTGGAGGCCTTGGGCCCCGTTAGACCCCTTCTTGGTTTTCCGACCCTCCGAGCAGGACTTGGTGTTACAGGGAGTGGGGCTTTCCTTTCCCCCTCTGTGTACGACTTGGATTTGGGTTCGGCTCCTCCCCAGGTTCGGTTCCATGTCCCTGCGGGTCCTTTGGCTCCGTCCTTCCAGAGGTTTTAGGCTTCCCGCGTCTCTCCGGCTGAGGTGCATGGCCATTGCTGCTTATCTTTTGCGCTAGCCAGATTATGCCTCTATAATGGATCTGTCTTCCTTCAGGTTTGGGTCTCTGTCTCCTTACTGGGTTCGTTATGCAGGATGCGCTGTTGCAGTGTTTTGCTGCGTGCCTCGCGTGTCGGCAGGTAATGCTCGCCTCCTCCTTGCAACCCGCTTGGGCCTTGGCTCTTAGGTTGTGTTCGCCCTTTTGTCCTTTGTTGTTTGCTGCTTCTGCGGTCAAACAGTATATGCAGGCGACTTCTTCCAGCTGCTGCCTGATGTCTGACCTGTTGGTTCTCCGAGGGTCCCGGATGGGTTCCTCCCGGAGGAGTCGTACTAGGGCCCTCGGTTGCACCCAGCGAGGTGGGCCACAGGTGCTAGTTTCGGAGCCGGTGAAGCCTTCAGTCCCGGCTGTACCTGGTCGGCATGGTGCTCGCTCTGTGCACAGGTCGGGTTCTCGTAAGGGGGCATTGGCCCTTTCGCGGTTTGCCGCATTGACGGATGATGGAGGGAGGCTTGTTCTGTTCGCTCACACCTGGTCCCACGATTTGTGGGCTTTTTAGGTTGTTTTTCGCGGCCTTCAGGGGCGTTGGGTGGCTCCTAGTCCTTTGGGAGGGGGGGGGGGGCAGGGCAGGCCTCTTCTCCTGCGCTCTGTCGGGTCATATTGGAGTGGATGCACTAGGGCGTGGTCGAAATGATGACGTCTCTTAGGTGGGTTTCCCGCCTATTTCCAATTCCAAAACAGAACTGTGCGGACCTGCGGTCATTCTGAACTTGTCCCGTCTGAATCCCTGGGTTTTTTGCCCCTCCTTTCGGATGACCAGTCTGTCCCAGGTCCGGCTTCTGTTGGAGCCAGGCGCTTGAATAGTGTCCCTGGACCTGAAGGACACGTATTGGCACATCCTGATTCATCCGGGGTTCAGGGACTGGCTCGGTTTTGTTGTGAGGCATCAGAGTTACTGCTTTTGTTGTCTCCCATTCGGGTTGAACCTGGCACCTCTCGTGTTCACACGCCTTACCCGGGTCGTGATGGCCCGTCTGCATCTGTTAGGTGTTTGGGTGTTGGCTTACCTCGACGATTGGCTGGTTTGGGTTCCCAGTCGGTCCGCGTATCTGCTCGCCTGGGGTTTGGTCCTTTCCCAGCTAGCTGGGTTCAGGTTCCAGGTGAACTGGCGGAAGTCCCATTTTGTTCCTTCCCAGGTTCAAACCTGGCTGGGTCTTGTGTGGTACTCTCGGACTGCTT